TTGAAAGGCTAACTTTAGTTTCTGTCAAGGCATTTTGCCAGCTTTCAATGGAGTTTTTAATTTCCTAGTAATCTCTTTGGATCTATTTCATGTATTCTAGATTTTGTTTATATTCTTCACCAAAGGTTTCTCTTCTTTTTCTGGGTTCCTCCTTTCTTCCATCTGTGTCTTCTTGAGAGATGCTCAGCATTTCTTTTATTAATCATTTTATAGCTTGCCTCACTTGGATTAGAATTTCAGTTTTAAGTTCATCTATGAGGTCATGAAGGTATTTCTTTATGTCTGCTGATGCTGTGGCTGATATTGCATGATTGCTGCCCTAGAACTCTTCTGTATTTACCTCTCCTAGACTTACTTTGCCAGGATCAGCAGCTGGAGGCTTTTTCTTATTTCTTTCTCTTGTCATGTTTCTGGTTTCTTTCAGACAGGTTTATGGTAGAGGTCTCAGTCCCCCTCCATATTGCTCATGGTTTTTCTGAAGCGTGCTGGCTGGAGGCTTGCTACCTTCTCCAGTTTATTGTTATCTGAGGTGCATGCAGGCATGATGCAGGCTGGCCCCTCTTCTCTGAGCCAGTCAACCAGCAAGTGCCTTCAGCACATTAGTCTGTGCTGTGCGGACATCACAGATTCAGGACAGATTTGTCCCTGGCTATTGGATCCCGAGCAGGGTGTGACCCAGCCCAAGCAGATCCCACCAGTTCTCTCTGGGCCAGGGGCAGCAGACTGATGCCACTGCGGTTCTGGGTTCAGGCCCGTCCTGCCCAGCTCCAATATGTCCTCCAGCCGGCCACACCCACCGTGGGACCCAATTTCCAGCACTCAACGTGAATTAATGCAGCTCTCCACCTTGGCTCCTGTCATGGTCTATGTCTGTGTCCCCCAGGTCTCATGAGTTTGAATTGTGCATTTGTGATTAGTTCATTGTCTAGTGCTTAGATTAATGGTATCAGTGCTCCACCTACATAGGGGTGGAGCCAGGATGTGATGTAATGGCAGGAAGAAGGTGTGTCTTGCTCTTTGCCAGTTCTTGTTTGCTGTTTGCAGCCACCATGAAGCCCAGCCATGCCTGTCTGCCTTGGAGTCAACTGAGTGTGGACTGAAACCTCCAAAAACTGTAAGAAATAAACCTTTCCTTTCCCAACTTTGGGCTTCAGGTATTTTGTCTCAGCAACGAGTAAAACGTAACTTAAGACAGCTCCATTCTACACTATGCCTTGTTCTCTTGCCAAGGGCCCTGGACTCACCAACTCCCGATTTCGGCAGCCACGGCTTCAGTGTGACCTTGAATGGTCCAACTCCAAGGGGCACACAGCACAGTGGAAGATGTTTTCCATCCTTTCTTTCCTTTTATTTTTCCTCACTTTCTTCCTGGGTCATGAGAATCTCTCTTCTTTCCTGTGGCCTTCTCCATGTTGTTACATTATAGCATCTGAGATGTTTGTCTCAGAGAGACTCTCTACCCTGCTGCCTATCAAGCTGCCATCTTCCAGCCCAACAGCTAAGAGAATTTTAGTTGAGATTGAATATATTCACTTCTAAATAGCTTTCATTTCATATAATAGGTCAATAAGTATATTCTAGAAATATAAAAATCATGTAGCTTTCCTACTAACGTATAATTTAAAGGTGCTTTTATATTTGGCATCAATTGAGCAGTTTCTTTTTGTCTCTTTTTTTTTCTGACTAGGCTTCTCTCCTCCCAAGTAATAAATGAGTTGTAAATAAGCTTATTTAAGTAGCAAACAATAATTTGTATTTGAAAAAGCTTCAAAATATGCTTTATAGATTTAGACGATAAAGCTTCCTGTGAGCAGAAAGGTGCTGTTTATGGGTAAGAAATGCTCATGTAGATATGTAAATAGTGGTTTTTCTTAACTCTTAAGAAGCCCTGACCAGTTTGTGCCATAAAAAAATGAATAATTTGTACATAAACTATTAAAACATTGTCATGACTGTCTAATAAATAAGTCACTTTTGTGCCTTTAGCCTTGTCTCTAATATCCTCTTCAGAAATGATCATCATTTTTAGTGTCTTTTTTTTGCATGGAATATTTCTAGAGAGTATATAAATACATATATCTCTTTTCATGCAAATTATAACGGTATACTCTTCCCTATTCATTTACCATATCAGTGTTTGACATAGAAATTGCATTTTAAAATAATTTGCTTACAGTTCTTTTAGATCTTCATATGTTACATTTAAAAACTTTAACAAAAAATAAGTGATTTCATTATATGAATGAAAATATAAGACATATATAGCTATACAGTTTTTTAAGTTTCTTTTTTAGAGTTTGTAATGACATGTAATTGCAGTACAGTATATATTGGAGAAATCTGAATTTAAAGTATATTTCAGATGCCTGTCATCATAATCATTTAACTCTTTTTTACCTTACAGGTTTACTTACTATGTTTAATATATCATGACTCTTTAACCATCTTTATGTTTATCTAACTTTGGGGTTTTCAAGAGCCAGGAATTAGGTTAATACTGGTTATGAGGTTCAAAATAGGAATTTTTTAGGCCCTACTCTAGTAACTGTGCAGCACTCATTAAGCTCATAGTATTTATGTCTGATAGATCAATTTTATATTTATATAGCTGTAATAAAAGTGAATATTTTTACTTTATATCTAGAGTTAAATTGCCTTAGAAACATTATTAATCTGCTTAATATGATTATTTTGGTTTTTGTGAGATAGTATAGAATTTAAGCCAGACTAACCCGGGTTTGAAACCTGTTTATGTCTTCAGTGCTAGCTCAGTGCTCTCTCTGTAAATCTCAATTTCTATACAATGTAATATTAACAGTGAGTAGCAGTACCAATAAGGATACTGCAGTGAATATTCTTGTATGGATATCATAGTTTGTGTAAAGATATTGATATAGACCAAAAAAATCTGTGAACCAAAAGGCTGATGCACTTTAAAATTTGATACACTGCTACAAAATCACTCTGAAACGATCATCCCACTTTGCAGTTTCACAAACTGTATAACAGTGCTATGTATTTTCTACACATGAATTTTTTCTTTTCTTATTCCTATCTTTGAATTTTAGCCTTCTCCAAGTCTCTTTGTTTTTTTTTTAATTTAAGGAGAAAAAGAAAAAAACAGAAAAGAGTACAAGTAATACAAAATTTTAAAAATAAATAGTAAGAAATCACTAGTTAATAGATTACATATTCTCATCTTAGAAATAGTTGTTCAAGTTACAAAATTAAAGCATATAAAGTGGACCCGGCCAGCCCCTCTCCCAACTCCATTCAATGCTTCCCACTCCGAGCTTTCGCACCTGTCTCCCCGCTGTGCTGACCGGGATGCAATAGAGGCTGCAGGAAATTCAGATCACAGTTTCCAGTGGCACGAGGTCCGGTTTCTGTGTTGAGACCTTATCTGTTCCTACTGTATCACTGGGATTGCTTTTCTAGTTGGTTTCTCTTAATTTAATTCGTTCCTGGGTCTGCAAAGAATATCCCCCCTTGCCTAGAACTTCCTGCCTGGCAAAATTCCTTGATTTTAAGTGCAGTTTCTCAGAGAGTCTCTGAGGCTGCTGCTATCTATCTGCCATGTTCTTCAGGACCCCTCCAAGTCTCTTTGATCCCTCTATTAAATGTGTGATATCTTAGACATTGGAATAATATGCTAGTAACTCCAGTAATATTTGTACCTTTCTCTTAATAATTACTCATATTTTAATGTGGGCTGTATAGTATTAATACATACTATTTATAAGACAAAAGCTCCTTGAGTCTAGGTTGCTTGTATTTTTTAAATATCTATCAACTTTAAAATTTCAATTAATCGGGGCTGGGGATTTAGCTCAGCGGCATAAGCATCTGCCTTGCAAGCAGGCAGTCGTGAGTTCGATCCTTGGTACCAATAAAAAGGAAAAAGACCAAAAAAAATTTTTTTTTAAATTTCAATTAATCAAAAATTTTTATATCTTCTCACTAGTGTGGCCATATATTCTGGTTTAATTTTCACTATAAGCAAAAAAGTGTTTTTGCTTTAATTTTATATTAATATGTTTTTATCCCTTTGCACATATGTAATATTTAATACCTTTTAGATGCATTGGTTTATAATTACAATGTTCATTATCATTACATAGGCTTTATATGTAGAAGATATAAATACTACTGATTCAACCATACTAATTGTGTTTCACCTTATTTTCTTAATGTCTGACTCTTCTAAAAAGAAAATAATGGAAAATTGCATTTAGGTTTTACTATAATTTCATTTCTATTAAATGTGTTACTCTATGTATGCTTATCTTTTGGTGCTGGGAATTGGATTCAGGGCCTCACATATGCAAAGCATATTTCCTACACTGAGCTACACCTCCAGCCTCAAATCTGCTACTTTTTTTAGTGAAACATTCTGAGTCATAAATACTCTAAAGATTTATGCAAATAAGTTAAAGTGCATGTTAATGAAATACAGAAAATTAAAATGTGAATGTTGGTATACCATGCTTCCCCAGCCATGTTTGGATTTTTATGAAAATCCAGCATGACACATTTGACACACAGGACTTTCTTATGGTCAACTCATATTGCAATAAGTTACATAGCTTTCTGTGTTTTTAAAGGGTGGTAAGGCTTAACTGGTCATTTGATTTGCAGAGCTTTAGGTAGATAGACAAGTATGTTTCGATGGCATTTATCCGATATCTTCTCAACTGATATCCTTTTGACTAAGAAGTTTATTTTAGATCTGTAGCTCTTATATGTATCAAATTGTTAAAAAGAGCATTCTTGATTATATTACTGTAAAATGTACGAAAATCAGACATATGTAAATCACTCTCAGTAGTGCTCCTTTGAGCACTCAGTAAATGGCAAGTATTATTATGCATTCTAATATTAATAGCACTGTGGAATTTATAGTGAATATAGAACCTTGTGATATGTGCATGTGGGCCTGCAGAAAAGCTTGATGTTGAAATTCTGTAAACCTTATTAAACTTTAACTTCTTGTTTAATAGAATCCCAAAACGAAAGAACAGATTGAAAATCTGTTACGGAATGGAATGAACAAGGAGTTGAGAGATCGCCTCTGTAGCCGAATGACTTTTGGGACTGCAGGACTTCGTTCTGCCATGGGAGCAGGGTTTTGCTATATTAATGATCTTACAGTAATACAGTCAACACAGGTAAATATTATTAACGATTACATGTGTAATTGTTCACTATTTATTTTGCTGTATTAATTAGGTAGTAGTACCTTTCTTTTCTTTCTTTCTTTTGTTCAGGAAGGTATTCTCGTGTAAATAAAAAACACTGACCAAATTCTAGTTTTTGGTCTTGCCTGAGTTTTATCTTAAAAATCATTTATGTATCTTCAAGGATCACAGATTGATTCTTGGATTAATAGTTATTTTAATTGCCATTGTCAACTTTTTGAGCATACTACTTTTAGAGAGAAGATAATTACACATGCTTATATACAGCCATTCGTAAAAGTTAACCAGAGTATTTGGCAAATTTAGTTGAAAATATTTCATTTAAGCATGCTTTTCCATATCCATTTGAAAATTTTAGAAACAAATTACTTCTCTTCCCAGTGAATCATCTTCACTGTTTCAAGATACTATACTTTTGAGGCCAGTAATATATTTAGCATACACTAAAAATAATTCTGACTTTCACATTGCCCTAGTGGGCATAACTATAAGCAATACTGCCACACTGTAAATCATCTTTAGCCTTGTTTTAAGAGAATTCTCTAAAGCCAAGTGTTAATGCCTAAGAGAGGAGATGAAATAAAAAGATGGTGGAAATAGGTAGGATACATGCCATCTTTCCTATCTACTCCCCCCCATCTCCTTTCTAGTCCTCAACCATACATGCATCTAGTTCAGTCTTTTTATGTTTACTGAGTTTCTTGATAAGCAAAGCCAGATAGAATCTGAGTCTTAAGCCCTAACCCTTTCAAACTCTAGCTGTGAATGAATATCTGGAGATAAGGTGAATTCTTATAGCAGACAATAATTTGAGGATCTGTAAGGTTTGAGGATAACTTTTTTTTGAGATAAGGTTTCACTATGCAGTTCATGCCAGCCTTGAACTCACTTTGTAACCCAGGCCAGCCTTAAACTCACACGACCCTCCTGCCTCAGCCTCCTGAGTGCTGGGATTACAGGTGTGTGCCACCACACCTGGCTTATTTGGGATATATTAATCTCTGTTCTTCTAACTCTCATATAGAGTATATTGAGAAAGATAATTACCCTTGAATGACTTGTGTATTGAAAGTAATTGGGGCCTCATTTGATACTGATTCATCCTTAATAATGCCTCCCTTAGAGTATATCTTCAGTAAGTCAGAATGACTTAATTTTAGTTAAATGAATGGCCCTGGATAATTTATTATATTGAGCATTACATAAATATTCTTATTCTGTATTCTCATTTTTAAAAGAAATATTAAAAAAGAGAGACAAAATAGTATTTGCATTTGTTTATTTTCAGCGTGTTACAAAGATTGAATTTCCTATCTTATTTTACAGAATTCTAAATGGTAAACACTATGAAGTGTTATTTTTAGAAGTAAAAATATTTACTGGTTAGCAAATCATTCTCAAGATAGTTAAAATGGTTTTAGTTTATCATTTTTATGTTTTAAATATGAAATACTTATTTTTTGTGTGTGTTCATTTGACTGCAAATTTTCATAGTCTATGCTTTTTTTGACTTGTGAGATTTTAAGACTAAAGAATTATAAATGATACCACCATTTTAAGAAGTGTTCCAGTGAGGTACTATGTTGCTGATTAAAAATATTTGTGTCCTAAATAGGTCAGATCTCTTGGTTAGCTTCTTAGAATTTAGCAATGATTGAAATTTTGCTCTCTGGAACCTCAAAGCAAGAAATACTTTCTTTTGATTCTTAGAGTAATTTCTTCTTACTGACCCTTATGTTTCATCTTTTCACGTTTTATTTATCGTATGGGTTTGATGATTACTAAGTTGATGCTTCTGTACTATTAAAATTGCCTGAAAATCTATCATTTCATGTTTGTGGATGGCATAGTATTGTTCTCACATTAGCAAATGTGAGCATAAAGGCAGAAGCCAGTTTCCCTAGAAGCCAATAAACTGCATACAAAACATAAAGACATTTTAACTATTCTAAAATTGTAAGCACTCATCAGGAAGTAATCTTTTGTGTTTATTTGCTTCAGGGAATGTACAAATACCTTGAGAAATGTTTCTCAGATCTTAAGCAAAGAGGCCTTGTCGTTGGGTATGACACTCGTGGTCAAGTAACCAGCAGCTGTAGCAGCCAGAGGTACAGTGTTAACTGTTTCAAAAATTAAGTTGGATTATAATAAAATACTAAAAAGTGCTTTTCCTACAAGTAGGTAGTACTGCTGAAACAGGAGACTACCAAATAGAAGTGTATTCACATGCTAGTGTTTATTTTAGAGCTGAAATAGAAGAAAAAGTACAGCAAAGATAAGCTACGGATTTCACAAAAGGAAGTAAAATCTTAAAATTTTTAGAGTTCACATTTAAAATGATGTCATAGCTTGTAAGTTTAATATATTTGTAAAGGGACTGGGTAAGAGTAATTATAAAGTTTATATTATCTTGTAATTCTTTTTGATTAAGAGTATTTTCATGGTCATGACATAGTGATACTTTTTCAGGGAGTAAATATACATGATGCATTTATTTTATTTGACTTTCCACCATTCTGTTGCATTTTGTGGGTTTTATGTCCTAATTAAAGCCATTAAAATGAATGGCAGAAAAAAAATTATAGCATCAATTCTGTTCATTGTTAGCTCTTTTTAGTTTAGGTTTGTGTTTGTGTGTACGATGCAGTGCTGGGGATGAACCCAGAGCCTTGTACCTGCTAACAGGTGCTCTACCACTAAGCCAACTTCCTTTTTAAATAAATCTTATTTATTTGAAGTTTTAAGTTGGAGCATAAAGTTTTTAAAAATGATTATAAGAATTGATTTTATTAAGATACTTTGAACTCAGACTAATTATAATAAGATATATTTATTATGTATGTGGAAGTTTTTTATTTTTTAAAAAGCATAGTAAGCTAAGGACTAAGGGAAATCTTTTAAATCTTTTTTTAGGCTTGCTAAACTCACAACTGCAGTCCTACTGGCTAAAGGTGTTCCTGTGTACCTTTTTTCAAGATATGTTCCTACACCTTTTGTAGTAAGTATGTTCTGTTAGTGATTGTTCAGCTGGCTGCTCTTGACAAGGTTTCTTTTTTTTTTTTTTTTTTTTTTGGTCTTTTTGAGACCAGGTTTCACTATGTAGTTCAAGCCTTGAGCTCACTTTGTAGCCCAGGCTGGTCCCAAACTCACAAACTCACTCAGTGCTGGGATTACTGGTATATACTACTATGCCCAGCCACTGGCAAGATTTCTTAACTAAAATTTAAAACTTTGTCACAAATATAGTTTTGTATTAGTGACATGAGGAATCAAAGGAAGGAAAAAATTTTGTTTTGAGTTTATTTTCATTTTTTAAACCGCCTAACAACTTGATCTCTAAAAGGTGACAAGCCCACAGTCATGGTGGGGCTATTTTAATGCTCTTCTTTCAGAAATTGACAAGGCAGACAAAAATTATTAGAGACAGTTTTGAACACACTTAACAGGTTTGATCCATTGAGTGTATATAGAAACCCTTTATTCCATGTTGGTAGGATACATGTTGGTATTAAACAGAGTTACAAAGAAAGTCTCAACAAATCTTGGAGAACTGTTTATCAAACTATATCCTTGGACTCCAATGAAATAAAATTATAAATTAAAAATCCCATAAAACTCCCTATGTATAGAATCTTAACACAGATCAATAAGTAATGTGTGGATTAAGGAAGATATAACTGAAGGTGAGAAACTACAGGTAGTTCTTGCTTTGAATGGTAATGCAGGGCTATAAAGACAGCTATGAAGCTAAAGATCCATGCAAAATGATCTTCACAGTCAACAAGAAAAATTGCAAATATTCCATGATTTTTATAATCTTGACAAAACATTAAAGACTCTCTTATTCATGGTTAAAAATATATAGGGAAAGGAAAAATGGTAAAAAATATTTAGTACATTACAATTTAAAATATTAGAAACACTGAATACTAAAGTTCTTACTTTGTTTAAAAAGAAAACTAGACAGGATTGTGAAGTGTTTGCTTCTTTTCTTTAACTTTCAGTGAGTGAGCATTTTACCATTCCTTTGCAGACTGTTATATACCTTGGACCACCTTCCAATATTTTATCCTTTGTTACTTTCAACATATTGAAATATCTCTGAGAGATCCTTTAATATAAAGTGTTTTACCTGTATCATTACCTCTTCTTCTTTTTCAGCCTTTTCATTACAACCCCATGTGTTTGTCTTTCATTATGCTCCTCTGGTTGCATATCTAAAGTCTTTTGAATGGTAATAGTGCTGGTATTCTCAAATGCCTTGTCTATAACTCATTTATGTTTAGTGCAATTTTCTTTTCACAACTATCACTTTTTAAAAGTTTCTTTGCTACATTTTGATCTTTGTTAAATTCCAATTTCTTTATGCATTTTTCCCTCTTTCTATTATCCATTTTTCTAAAATGTCACATGAGTTTATCACTGGGAAATAAGGAGAATGCACAGCCACATGTCTAAGAGCTGATTAATAAATGATACACAGCAGCTGGGCATTTAGCTCAGTGGCTCAAGCACTTGCCTGATAAGCACAAGGTCATGAATTCCATCCCTGGTACCAAATAAATAAATAAATAATACACAGTGACCAATCACTGACAGACTTTAAAAGTGTCACATGATAGATCATTGACCATGATAGATATATTATATATGTAAGAACTTGTGGACAGAAGAGCTAGCAACCACATTTGTACTTAATACAGTTATTCATGGTTAATGTTACCACAGTAACAGAAATTTGAAAATGTTATTAGGACACTCAAGCTATTTAACAAAAATGTGGCAATAGAAATGATGTTATATTGGAACTGCAGTGCAAGTACTGCTTGTATTTAAAACTGAACAGTATGAAAGCAAAAATTTGGGGACAGAACTAAGCCATACTTAAAGGCAAATTTATAACTTTAGTGAATACATTAGAAAGAAAGATTACAGGGCTCTCACAAAGAATACAGAAGCTCATTGAGAGAGACAACTCGGATGCCAAAGTGAAACATCTTGGAGAGGTCTGGAAAGAGGGAGGTGGATCCTCTCAACCCAGGAAGAAACTAAAAGGAAAAGAGCTGGTTAAACACACAGTCCTGGGGCCACCATTAGAGCAGCTAAGATTAGCGGCCACCATGACTTGCCGGAGCCGCCCAAACTTGCACTGCTGCAACCCACCAGATCTGTGCTTGTGCTAAAGTCAGAGGTCAGCAAGCCCAGTGGAGAACAGAGCCAGCGTGGAGACCTGCATTAACCCACAGTGAATGCAGGGAATAAGACCCCCTCACAGGAAAGGGCAACCAATTGGACAACATATTGGAATCTGGCAGGAAGGCAGGAGCAAGGAACGCCAGTGACTTCGGTCACTTGCTCCCTTCCCAGAGCAGATTGGTGGGATCTGCTGGGCCTGGGTCACAGTAAATCATCCTAAACTAATTCCAGAGGTGCGGCACACACTAACACAGTGAAAGACCACTGCAGGTTGACTGGCCTGGAGGGAAGCAGCCAGCATACACCGCTCCTGCTTACACCAACAGCAAACTAGAGAGTGCAGAAATCCCAAGCCAGTACGCTTCAGAAGAACCATGACCAACAAGGAAAGAGGCTGGGACCTCCACTATACACCTGTATGGAAGGAACCAAAAACATGACAAGAGAAAGAAATAAGAAAAGCCCCCAGCCCTAAACCCTGAGAGTATTGATCCAGGAGAGGTAAATACAAAAGAGACTGAGGACAGCAAACATGCAATATCAGACATGGCATCAGTGGACATAAAGAGATATCTTCGGGACCTCATAGAAGAGCTCAAAAGTGAAATTTAATCAAATAAAGCAAGATATAAGTAAATTAATAAAAGAAATGCTAAGCACCTCTCAAGAAGACACAGACAGAAAAATGGAGGAACACAAAAACAGGAGAGAAATGTTTAATGAAGAATATAAAGAAAACCTAGAATACATGAAGCAGATTCAAAGAGATTACCAGGAAGTTAAAAACTCCATTGTAAGCTGGCAAAACTGCCTGAAAGAAACTAAGGATAGACTATCAAAACTTGAAGACAGGTTTACAATGTGTGATCATGAAAGGAAAGATCTCTTAAAAAAAAAAAAAAAAACAAAGGAACAGGCAGTAACAATACAAAGGCTAGAAGATGACTTAAGAATAAAAAATGTAAATGAAGAAGCAGGGGTGAAAACAAAGGAAATACAAAGGCTATTCACAGAAATAATTAAGGAAAACTTCCCAAGCATAGGAAAAGGAAATGATATTCAGATGCATGAGGCATACAGAATTCCAGCCACTACAACCAAAACAGAGGTACACCCAGACATATAATAATCAAGATCCCAGAAATTCAGTATAAGAACAGAATACTAAAAGCTGTCAGAGAAAAGAAACAGATCACCTATAAAGGAAAACCCCATCAAAATCACAGCAGACTTCTTGACACAGACTATCAAATCAAGAAGAGCTTGGAGCGAAGTATTCTAAGCCCTGAAAGAAAATAACCTCCAGCCCAGATTGATGTACCCTGAAAAAGTGTCTCTAGAAATTAATGGACAAACAAGATGCTTCCATGACAAAGAGGAACTAGGGGAATTTGCCACCACCAACCCAACCCTACAGAGAATACTGAAAGACATTCTAGAGAGAGAGAAAAAAATACCAGGATATCAGGAACAGTGGCAGAAAGGCCTCAATGAATGAAGCAGACAGTGGAATGAAAGAGAAAAGTAGACAACCAATGGCAGAAAAATGGCATAGCAGAAATGAGGCAAAGAATGTTGGCTCTAATCTCTAACATACATGGCCTTGATACACTAAAAAAAAAGAAGAAAATTTAAAAAAAGAAACACAGGAAGAAGGGTCCACTGAGATGCTCTGTATAGGAAATATAATTAACCTGAAAAAGGGCTTGTGGATCAGAAATCAAATCCCTCTATGTGACAGGGAACCAGAGAGAAATAGGGGCAACTCGACCAGCACCTGCAGATAGGTTGGAAAGACAGGATACTTACATGCAACACAGAACTACTTAGCTATAATGAAGGAAAACTTCGAGGCTTTTGTAGGTATAGGAATACAACTTGAGATCAAGTCCAGGAGTGAGAAGTTTCAGAACCACTTACGTAAATAGCAGGTTGCCCCCCACCCAAGCTAAAAACTGAGGGAGTTGGTGGGACTCAAAATGCACAGTGCACTTTGTGGGAGTGAAAGGAGAGGAATAGTCTAAAAAAAGAAAGCAGAGGATATTGTTAATAGTGTATCAGGACTTAAAACCCATATTACACTGTTCTGTTTAGATGGATTATATTCTGTTCCAGTTTGTCTCCTTATGCTAGATTTGAGGGCACAGACACCTATCCCCAAAATAGCAGGATATAGTGTGATAATCATCCTTAATTTCCTATTAACTTAACATGAAACTGTGTATCATTTACACTGTTTTATCATGACTGATCTTAGTTGAATCTGGTTTGTTAGATTGCTGTTCTGTATTGACAGATTTTATTCAAATCTGTTATGATTGATAATATCAAATCTGAGAGTATAGGCAACTACACTGAAGATAACAAGATTCACTGGGATACCTAGTCTGGTTTGATTGTTACCTGTTTTTGAAGTTTTATGCTGTCTACAATGTTTTGTTTTTATTAATATTGTTATGTACTGCTATATTCAATTATACTATGCCTGACGATATAGACAATTCTACTGAAAATAACAAGAGACAACACAGTAACCCTTGTAGATCACCTTGTACTGTGGTTTTACATGACTTTTTCACTTCATGTTTTTATAGGAATTTGGTTTTGCCTTGCTTTGTTTTGTTTTTCCCTCTAATACAGAAAGGATAGAAATACATGTAGAGACTCATGCATGCGTAGAACCTATAAACAGTTTATGAGAACTTAGCATGATGAAATGAACAACTACTCTAAAGAAAAAGAGACACTGCAGTACCCAGTGCTGCTTCCATAGCATCATGATGTAAAATCCAGCAATACTATTATTCTTTGTTCAGAGTAATTTTGGTCTGTTTTGTTTAATTTCAACATACATGGAGATATGGACAGCTATTTTGAAGAGAATGAGAGACACTATGACAGCCATTGTTGACTTCCCTATTGTCTGATCTTGAAGACCTAAAACGCCTTCCTCATCTTGTTCAGATCAGTTTTATACTATGTTGTTTCATGTGAATTCTCTATGTGAAGATATGAACAACTATTTGGAAGAAAACAAGAAACAATATGATAGATAGTGAAGATCTCTGATTGTCTTGCTTTGAAATTTATGTCTCTTACATTGCTTTCTTATGTTCTGGTTTGTTGTGTTTAATTTTACCCTCTATAAAATAAAAAAAAATAAAAAAGTTTTGAAAAGTGAGTTAAGCTTTAATTTAATTTATTTATGCTAAAACATAAAATCTAAACTAAGTAGAAGTAATGCAATTGTAAAGGCATAAGAAAAACTCAAGTAAGCAAAAAATAAAGAAGCTATCAACAGAGTTAGGTCTCTGAAGAGACTAAAAAAAGATAAATGGTCCTGGAAAAGGTAGTCAAGAAACAAGGAACCCACAAATAAAGAAATTAAAAGAAAAGCATAATAGGAATTATTAAAAGCACAATATTTGGAACAACATAATACAAATAAATGTACAAGTTCAGATGAATTCACCAATTTCCTAGAAGAATACTTGTTACATCAAAACTTTAGAAATTTTAAAACTCTGAATAGACCTATGGTCATTTAATAAGCTGAATTAGTATTTTTGTTTCAAAAAGTACTCTCTAATTTAAAATACCAGGTTTAGATGATATTATAGGCAAGTTTTACCAAATATTTGAGGAATAGATATATCTCTATAGACTATTCTAGTGACTTATTGGACATACGTTGAAGGAATTCCCCAAACTCTAGCCCTAATGACTAATTGAAACCAAGGAAGATTCCAGAAGTTAGACCATCTCTGTAAGATTCTGCCTTACAGTTGCCAGTTCCAGCTATCATCATTCCCACTATGTTGACTTTTCTCTCTTGTGTAGGTAGATTTACTCTAACTGGTAGAGAAAATACTGTTAATAACCCCAGATTCACACTTTTTAACATGTCAAAGGCAATCTGCCCTGACTAACTGTAGCTAGAATATGTTGGGGGCTCTGAAGAGGCTTGGTTTATGAGACAGTTTCAGTTCAAGGGAATAGGTTACTGTGATCAAAACTGGGTCATGTTCATACCCCTCACCATTGTCAGGAGAGAAGTAAATGTAATGGTAGGAGCTGGAAGAGAAACATCCTAAGAACACAAATTAATTATTACAGAGAAAAATGGAAATTCCGCCTGAGAATTAAATGTGTTAGGGAAGATCGTGAGTTGACCTTTATACAACAAAAACCACAGGGTATGTATAAAACTCTTCAAACTGGAAAGCCAGAAACCTGTGTTCTACCTATCAATTCTCTACCTAGTGATTATATAGTATGGGACAAGCCTCACTGTAAAATATGATAGATTAAATGATTTATAAATTTACTTCTAACTTCAGTATCTTGTGATAGTATTTCTCCAATCTTTTCTCCAAGGTTCAGAGTGGCTGGTTGTTTTAGTTACTTTTCTGGTTGTTGAAATAAAATGTCCAACACCCAAAGTTGAAGGAGAAAAAGTTTATTTGGCTCACAGTTTACAGAGGTTTCACTCTACAGTCAGCAGGCTCCGAGGCAGGGTGATATGGCAGAGGGACATCACAGAGGAGAAACTGTTCATTGACAAAGCCATGCAAGCAGAAGGCAATGGCAACTAATCCAGCACCTGCAGATAGATTGGAAAGACGTGATGCTTTTGTGCAGTAGAGAACTATTCAGCTCTAATGAAGGAAAACCTTGAGGCTTTTGTAGGTAAAGGAATACAACTTCAGATCAAGCCCAAGAGTAAAAAGGTTCAGAACCACTTAGGTAAATAGCAGTCTAAGAACTAAAGGAGTTAGTGGGACCCAAAATGTACAGTGCACCCTGTGAAAGTGAAAGGGGAGGAATTGTCTAAAAAAGGAAGGCAGATGATATTGTTAATAGTGTATCAGGATTTAAAATCCACATTATTCTCACCACTCTGTTTAGTTTGATTATATTCTGTTCCCATTTGTCTACTTGACTAGATTTGAGGACATAGACAGCTGTCCCAAAAATAGCAGAATGTACTAAGGTAACCATCCTTAATTTCCTTTTAACTTAATCTGAAGCCCTGTATAGCTTACACTGTCTTATTATGACTAATATTATTTGAATCTGGTTTGTTAGACTGCTGTTTTGTATTGACTGATTTTATTCAAATCTGTTATAATCAATAGTATCAGGTCTGAGAGTATAGGCAACTGCTCTGAAGATGACAAGACTTACTAGGATACCCACTTTGGTTTGATGATTACCTGCTTTTGAAGTCATGTAATTTCTCCAATGTTTTGTTTTTATTAATAGTGTTATGTACTACTGTGTTCAATTATACTATGCCTGATGATATAGACAGTTCTATTGAAGATAACAAGAGACATCATAGTAACCATTGTTGATCACCTTGTATTGTGGTTTTATATGACTTTTTTGTTTCATATTTATCTAGGAATTTGTTTGTCTTCTCTTGTTTTGTTTTATTTTTCCCTCTAATACAGAAAGGATAGAAATACATGTAGAGACTCATGCACATGTAGAATCTATAAATGGTTTATGAGAACTGATATATAATGTGTGATGAAATGAACAACTACTTTGAAGAAAAAGAGACACTGCAGTACCCAGTGCTGATTCTATAGCATCATGATGTGAAATCCAATACTGTTATTCTTTGTTCAAAGTGATTTTGGTCTGTTTTGTTTTGTTTAATTTCAACATACACAGAGATATGGACAGCTATTTTGAAGAGAATGAGAGACACTATGACAGCCATTGTTGACTTCCTTATTGTCTGGTCTTGAAGACCTAAAATGCCTTCATCATCTTGTTTGGATCAGTTTTATACTATGTTGTTTTGTATGAATTCACTGTATGTGAAGATATGGGCAACTATTTGGAAGAAAACAAGAGACAATATGTTAGATAGTAAAGATGTCCAGTTGCTTGCTTTGAAATCTGTGTCTCTTACATTGCTTTCTTATGTTCTGTTTTGTTGTGTTTAATTTTACCCTCTTTAAAATAAAAATTAAAAAATTTGAAAAAGCAGAAGACAACAAGCAGCACACAAGTGGCAAGCGACAGCCCTCTTTCTGTTCCTTACATTACATCCAAGCTACTCTGCCACTAGGACAATTAGCACTCATAGCCAGGGTGTAGCACCCTTCATCCTACTAAGAACCAAGCAGAATCAGTCAGTGAGCTAATTCAGTAATGAGACACCCTTGATTCCAGCATCACACACTTAATCTCAGCTTCTCATACACTTGAGATTCAGCCACATCTGAAAAGTCCCACTTCTGACTACAAAAGGGTTTGGGGGGGATGTCTAGACATAAACCTTAACACTGGCACCATTGTAGGTATTCATTAACTATTGTTAAATGAACAAAAGGATGACAAATGTTTACAAGACTAAGTAAAAGAATATGCAATGTCTTGATTATTATTCTACTAACCTGTTTTGAAACTGTTTTGTTCTTTTTCCTGCTGAAAAAAAATTTTAAAGATTGAATTAAAAGAGATTGAGGGGAAAATCATTTGATCTAATAATTGGATGATTTTTGTACCTCATATTTAAAAATGAACTCCACCCACAAACTTGGAGTCTATGAGACTGTGGGTAATTTATACTATAATGTCATTTACAGTTATTTAATCAAACATTTTTGTGCCAAATGTATGAATAGCTAGGGAGCAAATGGAATTATGATGTTATAATAATTTTTTTCAGCCATATGCAGTCCAAGAGCTCAAAGCAGTTGCAGGTGTGATGATTACTGCATCTCACAACCCCAAGCAAGACAATGGATACAAGGTAAATGTTGCAATCCTGACCTTTGCCTATTTTATAGTTCTTATCTTATTTCCGTAATATGTACTACAAGCTTAACACTGTAAACAGAAAGATAAAAACATTGAGCCTGGCCCGCACAGCATTTATATCCCTAGTGACCCTTACTGCTTCTCCACATGTACAATTACAAAGGTATCTTCATTGGCCTTTCTACTTCTATTTGCCCTTGACTTCCTCATTCAACCCCTACTATCCTGCCATTTCAGAAATACAGTTGCATTGTACCAAGGATATGAAGAATGCATGGGAGTATATAGGAAGAAAGTCAGAAAAATGGTGCTTAACCTTTCCCCCTCCCTTTGACCTTCTTCCTTGGTTCCGTATTGGCCACAGGATCCATTCATTGTGTCAGATTATATGGCAGAATGGAGAAGGGTGAAAAATGACTCTGGAAATGTTAGCGGCTAACTCCTTCTAAAAATGGCTAGCCAAATAAACATTACTGGGTTTTGGGTTATTTGCCTCTCCTTTTGGAGTTAGATTCCAAGTTTTTCTCATCTTGAAAAAGAATGAAATGAGCAAAAAGCAGTGACACAGTATATGGGAAAAAGTAAAAGTTGCTGTGATGGCACACAACTGTAATCGCAGCACTCAGGAGACTGAGACAGGATTGCCATGAGTTTGATGCCAGCATGAGCTATATAGTGAGACCCTGTCTCAAAATGAAGTCAGGGGCCGGGGGTTTAACTCAGTGGCATAAGCACCTGGCTGGCAGGCGTGAAGTTGTGAGTTTGATACCACCCTCCTGCACCAAAGAAGAAAAAAAAAGTCAAAGTGCAAAGTGAGGGAGTAATTGGTTCTGCAGAGCAAGCTTGGGCCAAGGAAAAAGGAAAAAGTGAGATAAAAGTACACTCAAGGAAGCAGTGCAGGCTATCGTGAACATAAAACCATAAACACAGCAGCAAGCTGTTCTTGACATCTGTGTCCTTTTATACTGTCCAAATCTTGAGGAAACCCACGAGAACTTCTACATATGAGTCCTGGGATCCCATATCCCAAGCTGACTGATGTTAGGAACCTGCTCCGGTTCTTGTGAGAAATCCACATGCAATGCTTTGGGAATTTTTCTGTGCATATGTTCTGGGATTTTATAATTAATTTCTTTTGTACCACATAAGCACAACTTCATAATGTTGAGTTTAATTGTATAAAGTTTTATGGGATATTCTGTAGATTCTTTTAGTATATGGTTATAATTCCAAGAGTATGATTGGACACTATAGTATATGCGTATTACAATGATGTCTACTTATATTGCATTGGTATTAAAGTAAATTCTTTTATTTTTTTATTTTTATTTTTTTCAAGACAAGGTCTCACTTTAGTTTAGGTTGGGCTTGAACTCGTTTTGTGGTTCAGATTGGCCACAAACTCATGGTGATCCTTGTGCCTCAGCTTCCTGAGTGCTAGGGTTACAGGCAGGTGCCATTATCCCTGGCTAAAATAAATTCTACAAAAGGAAATAATGTAATTTTTAAATAAATCACCATGTAATCATTACCATCAATATCTTTTTGTATTTATTAGTGTCATGTTGAAAATTTTTACGTGACTAACTTTGTTCATAACTTTGTTCATAACTTTGTATTTGTTCATAAAACCAAAGATCTCTACTGTGGCTAAGAAAAGTTCTGATAATTTCATTTCAAGTAATTATAGCTATATTTGTCATCTAGGTTTATTGGGAAACTGGTGCTCAGATCACATCTCCTCATGATAAGGAAATTTTGAAATGTATAGAAGAATGTGTGGAACCCTGGAGTGGTTCCTGGAATGATAATTTAGTGGACACCAGTCCACTGAAGAGAGATCCTCTGGAGGACATTTGCAAGAGATATATGGAAGATCTGAAAAAGATCTGTTTTTACAGGTATGGAGGTTAACTAAGTGGAGGAAGTGATGTTAAGTATTTTCTATTCATTATATTTAAATTGTAGCTAAATAGTGTCATAATAGGGTATAAGGATATGGCTCAGTGGTAGAGTTCTTGCCTTCTGTGCATAAGGCCCTGGGTTTGATTCCAAGAACTGCAATTTTTTTTAAAAAAAATAGTACCATAACAGCCAAAAAGTAGAAGTAACCCAAATATACATTAACTGGTAAATGGATAAATAAAATGTAATATATCCATAAAATGAAATATTATTCAGCAGTAAAAAGAAATGAAATACTGATACATATCACAATATAAACAGAACTTGAAAACATTATGCTAGGTGAAGGAAGCTATTCACAAAGAACCACATATTGTATGAATCCATTTATATGAACTGTCCAGTACAGGCAAATCTATAGAGACAGAAGTAAACAGAAAATTAACTAGTAGTTGCCTATGGTTGGAAAGAATCAGAGAGTTGAGAGAGGGGAAGCAATGATGTGCAGTATTTATTTTGCAATAATGAGAATGTTTTAAATTTGATTGTAGTAAAGATTGAACAGCTCTATGAATATAGTGAAAATTCTATTGAATTATGACTGATATAGTAAGTGAATTATATTTCAATCAGTTGTTAAATATATCTATGTGTAAAAATTCCTGTATGTAAGATTAGAAAATTTCCTTAAGATTTTATTTTTCCTTAACTATTCCCATAATGATATATATAACCCATAAATAGCTAACATTATTGCTAGAAAGAATCACCATTTACTGAGTGTATTTTTTCTATCTTAAAAAATAGATTTTAATTTTCTCTCTATTTATTTTCAGAAATACACCCATCAAACTGTCAATTGTTTGCTTTTCTTCCAGAATGAGAAGTAGGCTAATAGAGAGAAGAACTAGCTAAATACTGCTATATATAGTCAATCTAAAAAGAGTTGTATCCTTTTATTATCTTTTCTATCTTTACTCATTTACGTCTTTGTTTTTGAAAAAGTATATGTGCAAAAGCAAAATATATCTAGATGAATGCATAATCACACAGAGAAGATTTCAAGTGACTTTAAATTCGATTATATTTTCCTAATGGGTTACATCCTAAGAATACAGAACCATAAACTTCAAATTATCTATGGTAGCTCTACTGTTAGTATTAATATCAATAGTTTTATTAGATAAATATAGCTATATATATGCATACACATATATTATTTAAAAAGTGGGTGGTTATGTTAATGCTAACAAGGAGCTAAGATCTTGATATAAGAAAATCAAGTATAAAGTAAAAAAAATTTTTTTTCAAAAGTGACTTTTTTAAAATTTTTATTTAAGGAGAAAAAGAAAAAAAAACAGAAAAAGGGTACAAGTTATACAGAATTTCAGAAAAAATAAACAGTAGGAAATCACTAGTTAATAGATTACATATTGTCATCTTAGAAATAGTTGTTCAGGTTACAAAATTAAAGCATATAAAGTGGACACTCAAACAGTAAGATTGCAAACAGTTCTGTTCAATGATCCAACAAAACTCAGTAATATGGTTATCTATCTTATACACTTAAATATACATGCAGTTATATCCTTTAGAGCACTTTCTTTTCCTCTCTTTTGTACAATGACAATTACACATTTTGGGTTTTATTACTACCACAGTTCTTATTACTTTTTTTGAAGAGAATAAAACCAAATGTGACATAACAAAACAGAGTCAGTCGAATCAAAAGGATGGACATAGTACATAATGTAAAAACAGAATACAAGATGATCAACAATGGTTACCATAATGCTTCTTGCTATCTTAAAAAGAATTGCCTATATCATCAGTTATAATAAAATTGAACAAAACAGTAAAGAACAAAACCAATAAAACCAAAACATTGGAGACATTGCAGGAGTTCAAAAGAAGATAATAGTCAAACCAGAATGAGCGTCATAATGAATCTTATTGTCTTCACAGTTGTTGCCTATACTCTCAAACTTGGTAGTATCAAGCAAGACAGAATAGAGTAAAATCAGTCAAAACAAGATGGTGAGAGCAATACAGGGTTTCAAATCAAGTTAATAGAAAATCAAAGTGGGTTACTATAATATATCCTGCTATTTTTTATTTTTCCCTTAATTAAAAAGATAAAAATAAAAAAGTAAATTATAAATAAAGGAGATTGAGATAAAAGAGGACATAACAACAAAACACCACAGGTCAAAACATAACCATTAAAGCAAAATAGTGTCTCACTACCAGATATCCCAACATAAAATTAGTTACCATAGTGTCTCTTTCCTTGAAATCTTTGAGTATAATTTGGTGTACTGTAGCATCAAACATATCAAGACAATGTAAGACCATTCAAGAGAATGACAGTATTACAGGGTATTTAGAACCAACTAACAGAAAATGAACAATGGTTTCTGTATAATCTCCTTGTCTATAAAAGTTTTTGTTTATGGGGGCTGGGGATTTAGCTCAGCAGCATAAGCACCTGCCTTGCAAGCAGGCGGTCGTGAGTTCGATCCCCGGTACCGATAAAAATGAAAAAGACAAAAAAAAAAGTTTTTGTTTATGTTATCACATATAATAAAATCCAATAAGATACAACATGTTAAGACCGATGGAGACAGAAGAACAAAAGCTTGATGGGACTTCAAAACAAGATGATATTGAATCAGCACAAGCTATTATGATGTCTTGTTTTCTCCAAAATAGCTGTTCCTACCATCCAGCCTTCTCTGCCTCATTTCTGTTGAGCTCTTTTTTCTGTCATTAGTTGTCAGTTTGTCTTCTTCATTTTGCTTTCTGCTCCATTCATTGTGGCCTCTCTGCTATTGTTTCTGGAATCTTGGTATTTTTCTTTTTTTAGGATATCCTGCAGTATTCTCTGTAGAGTTGAATTGGTGGTTGCAAATTCCCCTAGCTCCTCTTTATCCTGGAAGCACCTTGTTTTTCCATCAATTTCTAGGGACAGTTGTGCAGAATATATCAATCTTGGCTGGAGGTTATTATCTTTCAAAGCTTGAATTATTTCCCCCCACACTCTTTGTGATTTGATGGTTTGTGCCGAGAAGTCTGCTGTAATTCTGATGGGTGTTCCCTTGTAAGTGATCTGTTTCTTGTCTCTGACAGCTTTTAATATTCTGTTCTTGTATTGGATTTCTAGTATTTTGATTATTATATGCCTGGGTGTTGTTCTGTTTGGGTTGTAGGTGGCTGGGGTCCTGTATGCCTCATACATCTGAGTATCTTTACCTTTTGCTAAATTAGGGAAATTCTCCTGGATTATTTCTGTGAATAGCCTTTGTAGTTCAATTGTTTGAGTCCCTCCTTCTTCTTTTATGTTCTTAATTCTTTTTTTTTTTTTTTTTTTTTTGTCTTTTTCGTTTTTATCGGTACCAGGGATCGAACTCAGGACTGCCTGCTTGCAAGGCAGGCGCTTATGCCGCTAAGCTAAATCCCCAGCCCCTATGTTCTTAATTCTTAAGTTATAGATCCTCTTATCATCTTCAAGCCTTTGTATTATTGCTGTTTGTTTTCTTGTTATTTTTAAGAAGTTTTTCATTTCATGCTCCCACATTACAAATCTGTCCTCCAGTTCAGATAATCTATCCTTAGTTTCTTTCAAGCTGTTATGCCAGCTTTCAATAGAGTTTTTAGTTTCCTGGTAATCTCTTTGAACCTGCTTCACATATTCTATGCTTTCTCTATTTTCTCCATCCAACAATTCTCCCCTTTTTTTCTGTTCTTCCATTCCACCATTTGTTTTTTCTTGAGTGATACTTAGCCTTTCTCTAATATTCTACTTATATCTTGCTTTAGGTCGTTAAACACTTCACTTTTGAACTCGTCTATGAGGCTCCAGAGATATCGCTTTATGTCTCTTGGTGCCGTGTCTGATACTGCATGTTTTCTGTCCTCGTTCTCCTTTGCATTTACCTTTCCTGGATCAGTGTTCTCAGGATTGGGAGCCGAAGACCCTTTCTTGTTGCTCCCTCTTCCCATTCTTTTTGTTCCTTCCATACAAGCGTATATAGGAGGCCAGTTTCTTTCTTTGTTGGTTACAGTTTGTTTGAATTGTGCTGGCTAGGAGTTCCCACCCACTGCAGTGTACTAGGGAGACACAGATCTGGGCAGCCTCTGCTGGGCCTGCTCCTCCAGGTCAGTCAACCTACTAAAGGCTTCACTGCTAGGGTGTACCGCCAGGTGCTGAGACCTGGTTTGGGCTAGCTTACTGGGTCTTAATCCGTGGCATTACCCAAGCCAAGTGCTCCCCACCAATCCCGCTTGAGAGGGGAATATGCGACTAAAGTCTCTGCAGCATCCTGTTCTGGCTAGTCTGCCCAGTCCCAAAATGTCCTCTGTTGGAGCCTCCTTATCTATAGAAGGGTCCCTGTTCCTCTCACTCACTGCAGGTCAATGCAGGGCTCCCCGCCAGACCCGCTCTCAACTCCGTTCTCCAATTCCAAAAAAATAATTTTAAAACTGTAATTTTGACTTTGAAATGTTAGTGTGAACTTATGTCTATTTATCTTTTTCTAAAATACTAATTCTGTTACATAGATTGTGGTTCTAAATAATATTTCTGAATAAAGGGAACCAGAGCTCCTATGAAAATGAATGAATCCAGGACTGGTGCAGGAAATGTATTCTTGAGCTTCATATGTCTCTCTCTCCCTCTTTCCCTGTCAGTCTTTCACTTCCCCTGTTATTCTCCCCTCCCCTGTCTTTCTCTGTCTCTTCCTCCCTCCTTCCTGCCCTCTTAATCTCTTTTCCTCTCTCTTTCTCCCTTCCTCTTCCTCTCTCTCTCCATCAATCTCAGTCTACTTTTCCCTTTCCTTCTCCCCTCTCTACCATAAGGTAAGAAAGTTGTCAAAGACACTGGGAGATACTTACTTGGGTCGTATCAAAGCTACAGAGGAATATACTTGAAGAGACTCCTGCTAATCAAACATTAGACAATTGAACATCAAAAAGAGTAATCACTGTAATGAACTAAGACATTAAATATAAAAATCCCATGGCTTATAGTTATCTATCAGATCACTTTATTGATCACCATAGGGGGTTGTTAGACTGATAATTACTCATTCTGAAATTTTATAAATACAGACTTTTCATTTTGCAGATTGATAAATGCTTGAATCTTTCTCTTAATTTGCCTTTCCTATATGAACTAAACTTCAGGGTTAATTAAATAATTGCTGAAGGATAAATATCTTTTTTTTAAATTTTATTTAAGTAGAAAAAGAAAAAAAACAGAAAAAGGGTACAAGTAATACAAAATTTAAAAAATGAACAGTAAGAAATCACTAGTTAATAGATTACATATTCTCATCTTAGAAATAGTTGTTCAAGTTACAAAATTAAAGCATATAAAGTGGACTTTCAAACAGTGAGACTGCAAACAGTTTTGTTCAATGATCCAAAAAAACTCAGTAATATGGTTATCTATCTATCTTATACACTTAAACAGATATGCAGTTATAACCTTTAGAGCACTTTCTTTTCTTTTCTTCTGTACAATGACAATTACACATTTTGGGTTTAATTACTCCCACAGTTCTTATTACTTTTTTTGAAGAGAGTAAAACCAAATGTGACATATCAGATCAGAGTCAGTCAAGTCAAAAGGATGGACATAATAGATAATGTAAAAACAAAATACAAGGTGATCAACAATGGTTACCATACTGCCTCTTGCTATCTTAAGAAGAATTGCCTATATCATCAGTTATAATAAAATTGAACAAAACAGTAAAGAATAAAACCAAAACACTGGAGACATTACAGGACTTTAAAAGAAGCTAATAGTCAACCAGAATAGGCGTCATAATGAATCTTATTGTCGTCACAGTTGTTGCCTATACTTTCAAAGTTGGTAGTATCAAGCTAAGCAGAATAGGGGAAAATCAGTCAAAACAAGATGGTGAGAGCAATACAGGGTTTCAAATCAAGTTAATAGGAAATCAAAGTAGATTACTATAATGTATCCTGCTACTTTTTATTTATTTTTCCCTTAATTAAAACGATAAAAATAAAAAGTAAATAATTTAAAAAAGGAGATTGAGATAAAAGAGGGCATAACATCAAAACAGCGCAGGTCAAAACATAACCATTTAAGCAAAATATTGTTTCACCACAAGATATCCTGACATAAAAGTAGTTACCATAGTGTCTCTTTCCTTGAAATCTTTGAGTATAGCTTTGCATACTGTAGCACCAAACATTGCATAAATATCTTTAAAGAAAAATGTAATTATTAAATGCAGAATGAGTAATATAATTAAAACCTGATTATTCTGTGATCTCAAATAATGTATCTAAGCAATCACCATGTAGGACTGTTAAGAGTCATAGATAAAAAGATGATGAGAAATTTTATCATGGATAGATCAGGATAACAAAACTGATGAATCTTAATTGAATACCATGAAGAGTAGGATAGGCATTTTGTGCCTCCCTTTGTGACTCAACAGAAAGTATATATACCTATTCTTGCCTAAAAACTTGTAATTGAACTTAATCCTGTTACTTTTAGATTCAATTACCTGTTGACAAAAAAAAAAGAGTTAGAGGAACATTCTAATACCAAAAGCATGTAACCCTAAAATGTCGGAATTCTCTAGCACAAATGGTTTTATTTCTAAGGAAGGGAAAAATACTTATGAAGTAAAAAGAGACTTGAGAGCCAAAACAACCAGATGTTGTCAACCTTATTCAGCTTCCAATTCAAGAAAACCAGCTGTTAAAAGTGTTTCTGAAACATTTGAACCCAGAGTATTAGATAAAATTAAAAAGTTAGTGGTGGGCATGTCTGTGATCTCTGCACTTGGGAGGCTGAGGCAAAAGGATCGCCAAGAGTTTGAGGTGAGCCTGAATTACATAAGCAGACCCTGACTCAAAAAACAAAATCAACAAAGTTATTAATTTTTGACAATGGTATTATGATTGTGCTTTTAAATATTAAAACATTTTTATGTAAAACAATATGATGTCTTAAATGAAATGAGGTTGATACAATGTTGACAAATGTTGAAACAAGGTGATAAAAATGAGTATTAAGTATTCTTATATGTGTTTTTTGAAATTTTTTTCATAATATTTTACAAATTTATCAATTTTATATTTATAACTGCATTTATTTTGGAGAGGTTAGTAAATGGTAGATAAGGGTGTAGAAAGTTTTGCTGTGGAAGAGAATATGGAGACAGAGAGTGAATAAGTACTAAAATTTTTCAGTGAATAAAGCTGGAGCCAGAGCAGAAGCGGAGCGACTGATCTTTGAGAGGAAGAACATTTCCTCACAGTTGTCAGATAGAACAAGAAAGATGTGTGTGAATGCTAGTGAGTTGTAGATTTGGTGTGGGAAGATTAGGACAGTCCCATAAGACAGCTTCTGTGTCTCCCTGGTGTTTTAGGTGTAGGGAGAAGAAAGGAATAAGGAAAGAGGAAAAGTTACACATCATTTTAGAGGATAAAAAAGTAATCTTTTTGCATAACAAAGTAGGATTGCCTGTCAGTATTGGATGTCAGCTATTAATCCTTTTGTGAGATTTCTTTCATCAGTTTATCTAGATATTTTGGTGCGGGTTTGGTAAAGGCACATTGTTGAATCAACAAGGGGTCAAGTACTGGAGGGTCATCGTAACCAAAGGGACATAAAAGTAATTGAAATTAAGTAATGTTGAGCACAGTGGTGCATAACCTCAGCTACTCAGCAGGTGTAGCAGGAGGATCACAAGTTTGAAGTAAGCGTGGGAAACTTAGGAAGACTCTGATTCAAAATAATAAATAAAAAAAGACTAAGGAGATAGATAGGTAGCACTCCTTGGGTTCAATCCCCAGTACTACAAAAGAAAAATAAATTAAGTACCTTGGAATCTAAGCTAGTTGTAAAAAAAAAAAAAAAGAAAGAAAGAAAGAATAAAGAAAGATATTTGCAGAAAATAAGAAAGACCATTCAGGAAGTTTTTGTGATGCTTCTGGTAGGGAATACTGTGGAGATTTGGTTAGGGCAATGGCACAGCTTATGTAAAGAGGTGATCTAGGTCAAGAAGTTGAATCACAGTTGGATACATTTGGGTGCACATCTGTAATCCCAGAATTTGGGAGATTGAGTCAAGAGGATTTCAATTCAAGTTTTGCCTAGGCAACTTAGAGATACTGGCTCAAAAAAAAAAAAAAAATATATATATATATATATGTATGCATATTCAAATATATATATATATATTTTTTAAGGGAATGAATGAGGATGTAGCTCGGGATAGTGTCCCTAAAAAAAGAAAAAGTTGAACCATAATAAGAGAATATAACTTAATCTTTTGAAATTTAAGTTTATACAGCATGATTTTTTAAAATATCAACGCTCCACTTAAGACTTTAATCACTTTTTCCAGGACTTAAGTTTTAATTATTCATATGTAACACATTTTATTATATTGATTGAACAGTGATTTATTTTGCTTTACAGAGAATTAAACTCAAAGACTACCTTGAAATTTGTGCATACATCCTTTCATGGGGTTGGACATGACTATGTGCAGTTGGCTTTTCAAGCATTTGGTTTTAAGCCTCCAATTCCAGTACCAGAACAAAAAGATCCTGATCCAGACTTTTCTACTGTTAAATGCCCAAATCCTGAAGAAGGAGAATCCGTGCTGGTATTTTTTTAAATTAACTATTATTTTAACTTTTTTTAAAATTATTATTAGTTTACTAAACCATCAGAATAGATAGAACTTACTTAAAATTCAGTTATTTACAAAAGCAGAAACAACTGTAGGTTTTATCTTTTAAATTATATTGGTACCATAGGGGTTTTTTTGTTTGTTTGAAATCTCTGTGATAGATATCCCTACTTCTAGACTTATTATTTTAAACTTAGCCAAATTCATAGGCCTTTTAAAATTATTACTAACATAGTTCCAACATTGAGAAATACTAAGATTGAATTGAGGTTCCTCAGTACAATTTAGCTTTTGGGGGTCACTGTTTCAGGAACTTTCCCTGAGATTGGCAGAAAGAGAAAATGCACGGATAGTTCTTGCTACAGATCCTGATGCAGACCGACTGGCAGTGGCAGAACTTCAAGAGAAGTAAGTGGAACCTGTTGTCTGATAAAAAGCTTGAGTTTCAAGGGGCCACAGGTGCAGCTCAGTGGTAAAGCACCTGATTAGCACAGCACATCTAAGGCCCTGTTTGTGATCCCCAACACTGAGGAGAAAAGAAACTTGAGCTTTTAAAAGCAGTTTTTTACTGTAAGTCTTACAGGCTTATTGAGAATAGTAAAGATGTTAGAAAAGAACATAAATCTTGTATAATAAGCCTACCATTCAGAAATAATCACCTAAGTTGATATTTCAACATTTTTCCTAATCAAATAAAGATGCATTTATTTTTATAAAATTATAGTCCTATTATATGTGGTTTAACTATTATTTTGTATTCCAACTGCACTCTAAGCATTTTTCCTGTACTTATTATTTTTTCAAAAATATTAATTTTAAAAGCAGCATAATATTCTAACATTACTGTATCAGTATAAATCATTTCTTAATCTTAGTCCTCTGCTTTGCTGGGGTTTTTTTTGCTATTATGATGTAATGTTTGTCCTTACATAAAGATATAAACATTTATTATAATTTTTGTCTCATTAAAGATGAGAATAAGAGTAACATTGTAATAAATTTTTCAAAAGATATTATAACCATTGTTACTCTAAAGATCATCCCTGGTCAATCAGAAAAGTAGCAGTAGCATTTTCTGAAAAGTCTATTGTAATAGGGTTTGGTCTTTCCTATTTGAATGATGGTAGCTTGTATGTCTTAGGGTCAAGAAGTTTTAATAGGAAGCTAGAAAGGTATTGACTGAATTTTCATGCTCTCTGCAGTGGTCACTGGAAAGTTTTTACAGGGAATGAGTTGGCAGCTTTGTTTGGATGGTGGATGTTTGATTGCTGGAAAAAAAATAAATCAACAAATGCCAATGTGAAGAATGTTTATATGTTAGCCACCACTGTCTCTTCTAAAATCTTGAAGGCAATTGCACTTGAGGAAGGATTTCATTTTGAAGTAAGGATATTAACTGTATGGTACTTTTCTAAACCTATACATGTTTGTAGGCTAAAGACATGTTTTCAACCAGACTGATTTCCATAGATTTCATTTATAATTCCCTCACTTTTCTTAATTCTGTTCACACTTGCTTACTATTTTTGATAATTTAAACACCTGAGTCAAATTCACTTCGTGTGTGAATTTTTGATTGAGATATTCTTCAAAAATTACATCAACAGCCAGTCGTGATGGCAAATGCCTCTAATCCCAGCACTTGGGAGGCTAACACAAGACGATTGCTGTGCGTGTGAGGCCAGCCTGGGCTACAAAGTGAGTTCAAGGCCAGACTGAACTGTATAGCAAAACCCTGTCTCAAAAAGGACTAAAAAGAATTACATCAACAATTACTAGTCTATATGGCAATATCTGGTTTTAAGGCTGGGAAAGTCTAGCTCCTGGTGATCTCATCTCCAAAAGCCTGAAGGTGTCTCCACCCTTATTTAGACTTCTTGAGCAAAATATTAAGAAACTCCAAATAGGTTTCTAGATTACAAATTAAGATCTAGTGACTCCACATCCAAAAACAAGTAGAGTCTCAGCCCAAATAAGTAATTTTTGAGAACCTCAGGTTGATAAGATGACCATTTTTGCATTCACATGAACTAATTAATGTCTATTAAGTTGCTTTTTCTCGGTCATCTTTACCAAATATCAAAGTGTCATCCCTAGGCATTTTTCTTGAGTTATATTGAAGGTACAGGTCTTAACACTAGTTGACTGAATAAAAGAAAATTGTACTTGTATTTATAAAACACAGATTTCAATCTTTGACTCTCAAAACAAAATATTTTGAGGAAAATGTGAAATGTTAAATTTATTCAAGCCTAATTACAATAATGTCAACGTTTTCCTTATTTATATCTATAGCAAAAAATATAAGCACAAAGAAAGAGCATAATTTTTAAAAACCAGTATATTATAAAATTATTTTTTGTTGTTGGCAGTACATTTCTTGGCCTTTTATTTTTTGGTGAGGGAGTAAAGAAGTGAATTAGAAAACTATAGGACATGTCTTTAGCATGAATAAGTAGTTCATCATATGAAAAATTGTCACATCTTATTACTTAGAAAAGCCTGAGTAACTATCGCGGTGGCTTTATTTAGGCTACAGTATTCAGTCATCACCAAAAATATAGTGGCTTTTGATTACTTGGGGGGCTAAATCATAAGCAGTTTATATTAACGGTTATAATGTAGTTTAAAGGGCAATTTTTGAGAAGTGAGGTAATTGAACCCTGCCTGCATCTCTTCCACACAGCACCTTGGGCAAATATACTTAACCCCGGAGCCACAGTTTTGGCAAGTATTTATGAGTATTAGAAAAGATGATGTAAAGCACCTGTTATGGTACTTAGATAATGATAACATATATACATTACTTTGTAACTGTATTCATCATCACAAATATTAGATTGTATTTTATGTACATCATCTTTTACTATGTTGTGTAAATAATAGGCCATTTGTAGTGTTGGTGCGTGAATTTACAGCACTTTATTACTGATTGGTCTGTCATTATACAACCTTTGTGGACCAAAGATCAAAACAAGATCATTACGTGATTATTATGTGCCTTTAGTGATAAGTTTTTCTCTAACATGTGGTTATGACAGAGTGGCTCCCTCTGCATTTCAGGAAACATTACCAGGTTTTAAATGGATTGGAAGTAGGATAAAAAACCTCCTGGAAAATGGGAAAGAGGTCCTTTTTGCATTTGAAGAGTCTATTGGTATGTAATAAATATTAAACTTTTTGAAATTCCATTGAGAGCATTTTTTGAGATTTTATATTTTGAGTTGTAGAAACTGCAGAGACCTCAGAAGTATGGAATACATTTCTCATAACACAAAAAGGAAAAAACCTAAAGGTTTCCTGAATATATTCAGTATTAATGGGTTTTGTTTATTTCTTTTTTTTTTTTTTAATTTAAGAGGAAAAAGAGAAAAACACAAAACAAACCAAAGCGGTGTAAGGGTACACATAATACAGAACTACAAAAACAAAACAAAACAAAACAAAAAAAACATAACAGTAAGAAATCACCTGTTAGTAGATTACATATTATCATCTTGAAAATAGTTCCTCAAATCACAGTATCAAAGAATATAAGGTGGACATTCAAACAGGGAGACTGCAAACAGCTGTGTTCAGTGATCCAAAAACATTGATATAGTCAGCTATTCAACACCCCTAAACACACTTGCTGTTATATCCGTTAGAGCTCTTTTTCTTTTTTTTTTTTTTTCCCTCTCTTTTTTACAACAAAATTTACACATTTTGGATTTTATTACTCCTTAGTGCTTATTACTTTTGGGGGGGGGGGAGAATACAGTCAAATATGGCAAAACAAAGCTGTCAGTCAATACCAAGGATAGACATAGCACATGGTTTTGTTTATTTCTATGCTCTTAAATTTACTTATTCTTCTGAGTAAATGTAAAACCTATAAAATTGTAGACTTACAGTTTTTCCTTTCCTAAAGATGCTTTTTAATCCTTAGGTTTCCTGTGTGGAACTTCAGTGTTGGATAAAGATGGGGTGAGCGCAGCCGTTGTGGTTGCTGAGATGGCATCTTATCTGGAAGCCATGAATGTAACACTGAATGAGCAACTGATCAAGGTTTATGAAACGTAAGTTCTGTTGTACACATACTAGATCAATCTTTCTTTTTTGTTGTTGTTTCAGTCTTATCCTTAGTTTTCTAAATTTGTTTTTGGAGATTAGTTCATAATTGTCTGAATTAGGGACTACCACTTTCTACAAAATATTGCTCTATAGGCTTTCTAAAGTTTTCTGAAATCTGACCTTAGCACTTTAAATCTTTGTGCAGATATGGTTATCATATGTCAAAAACTTCGTATTTCTTATGTTATGATCCACCCACCATCAAAAATATATTTGAAAGACTTCGCAATTTTGATTCTCCAAAGGAATATCCAAAATTTTGTGGAGCATTTACTATACTGCATGTACGGGATGTTACCACTGGATATGACAGTAGCCAACCTAATAAGAAATCGGTAAGTATGTATTGTTTTTTCAAAGAATGTAGAAAATTTAATGGCCAAAAAGCCTAGAGGCAGGACAGGTTTCATTTGAAGCTCAATCCAATTTCCTTCTGTTTCCTAGTTTATTATAAAGGTTATAATTGAGAAGCAGCCAAATGAAAGAAATGTATAGGGAAAGGTACCGAGAGTGAGGGAAGACTAGGAGCTTCCATGCCTTCTTTGGGCATAGCACCCTCCCAGCAAGTCCATGCATTTGTTAATTAATCCAGAAGCTCCTGAAAATACCTAGTTTTTTAAATGTTTACTAGTTATTGTTTGTTTAAAAAAAGCATCAAAATTATCAACACAGACTTTTTTTTGTATACAGAGTGTAAAAAATAACAGCATACATAACTTCCTATTGAACTACAATGAAATACCACCAATAGGACTCTATAACAAAAATAATCTTTACTTCAGTTATCACACCTAAAGCATTCTTCACACACAACAGCAAGTTTCCTACACACAAATGGCCTACACTGACAGCACGTGTTTTGCTTTTCTGGCCTTTTGTAGGACATACTTGACATCTTGCTAGTATTGCTGTTATTGCAGGTTATATGTTATAATCTGTAGTTAATGGCAGTGTAATATCATTAAATTAGTTATTAAATTCTTAGTATGTATTGCACATTTAGAGTAAACATCAACATTTTCATATCAGCTGTATACTTTCTTACAAATCTAAAAGATAACATCAGAAATAAATACCTATATGAACTACAATGAAAATACCAGTAGAAGTCTACAACAAAAATAATCTTTGCTTTAACTGTCAAACCCCAGCAGACTTCACACATGACAGCTACACACTCTGTGCACGTGTCTCACTTCCACTGGCAGCACATGTGCTTAGCCTTCCTTTCCTATGTGGCAGACCAATCTTGTCACCTCCCTGGTTTTCCTGGTTTTTTTAATGTGGTCTCCCTTATTTAATTAATTAAGTTTATTAGTACATTTTGGATTTACATAATGATCATATTCATCATAAAAATATGATTTCCAAGATAGTGAATACAATTTTTTTTGAGACAAGGTCTTGCTATGTAGTTCAAGCTAGCTTTGAACTCACTGGGTAGCCCAGACTGGCCTTGAACTCACAATAACCCTGGTTCAGCCTCCTGAGTACCGAGATTATTTCTGTTTTATTTTTTGGGTTTTTTTCTCGCTATGTAGCCCATGCTGGCTTGAACTGGCAGTGATCCTCCTCCCACAGCCTCCCAAGTGCTGGAATTACAAGTGTGCATCACCATGTCCAGCTGAAAGTATCTAATTCATTTTAGGTTTTTCACCATCAGTAATAATTTGTGCCATAGAAAAATAACAGACATTTAGGCTTGTTTTTTTGAGGTTAAAAACTAACTGTTTTTCTCCAGAGTGGTTTAAAATACACTGGCTAGTATCTCTGACTCTAATCTGCATCACTTACCAGATAACCATCTGTACCACCCTGGGGTAAGGGGCATTCAGGAAGAGAAACAGAGAGACAGAAAAAGGAGAGAGACACAGAGTATGTGTTAATGCTAAGTAATATTGAAAATAAATCCTAAAAGCCTATAATTTCAAAGCCACACTTCTTTCTAATTTTCACTTTCTTTTCCAGTTTTACTCCCTGTACCTGTAGTCAAACACAACAACCTATAGTTCCTTTCATGCCATACCTATTATTTTTGTTTCCCTCCTCATTTGTAAAAGTTCTATTTCTGTTTTTTATTCTTTTTTTCCTTGAAAGCCCATTTCCCTTTCTTCTCTTCCTGTCCCCTCATCTCTTGTTCCCCTTCCCATTTGAATAAGTTCTTCTTACTTCCTAATATCTTTCTTCTACTGTAATCATTATTTATGTTTGGGTTTCTCACAAAAGAAAAACAAAGAAATATTTAAACTTATGTGTTTGATTTATTTCACATGGGATTATGCTTTCAAGGTGCCTCCATTTACATAAAAATTTCTCAAATTTATCTTTCTTTATGGCAGAGTAGTACTCTATTGCATGCACATAGATTTTATTTATTTATCTGTTGATGGACACATGGGCTTTTTCCAAGATAACTGTTACAAATTGTGCTATAAACATGGGTATGCATGTATCATGGTGGTATGATGACTTTAACTGTTGGGAAGATACCTAGAAGGTGAATAGCTAGACAAATGGAACCTCTAATTTTTTGTTTGTTTGCTTCTTTGTTCCTTTGTTTGAGACAGATTCTCACTATGTTGCTCTGGCTGCCTTAAATTTACAGAATGGCCCAGGCTGGCCTTGAACTCATAGTGATTCTCCTGCCTCAACCTTGCAAGCAGTTTTGTTTTTTGAAGAATCTCCATACTGATTTCCATAGTGGTTGTACTTACTTATACTCCTACCTCCCGCCACACACAGCCTTGTCAGCATGTGTTACTGGTTGATTTCTTGATGATAGCCATCATTACGATAGAATGAGATGGAAAAGAAGAAAAAAGAGTGAGATGAAATCTCAATGTTACTTTAATTGCATTTCTTAAATGGCCAGCAACATATTTTTTCATGTATTTATTAGCCATTTGTACTTCTTTGAGAAGTGTCTGTTCATTTCAGATGTCAATTTTTGGATTTGGCCTTTAAATTTGACGAGGGGGGGTTCCAATTTTTTTGAGTTCTTTATGTACTCTAGAGGAGTAACTGGCAAAATTTCTTTCCCATTCTGTAGCTTATCTCTTCACTATGAGCATTTTGGACTCAGAACTTCTTGTTTTACCACTTTGCTAATTGTCTTAAACAGGTCATTTACTTTCTTTGAGCCTTGTCTAGATTTTGGCAGTAATATTGACTTAACAGTATTGTTTTTAAAGTCCAGAGATGATGTACATATATATATATGTATATATAGTCTAGTACCTAGATTATTATAAGGATTCATATAATTTTTAAAATTTTCATCTGTTTTTTGGTACTGGGAATTGAACCCAGGACTTTTGCACTGAATCTATAGCCCTTCTTAAATTTTTTATTTTGAGCCAGAGCTAAGTTTCCCAGGCTGCGCTCAGATTTATGATCCTCCAGCATCAGCCTCCTAGAGTGCTAGGATTATAGTCTGTGCCACCATGTTTGCCTTAAAATGTTTTTTAGTTGTGTTAAAAACACATAGAATTTACTGTTTTATCTATTTTAAACATACAGTTCACTAGTGATAAGTATATTCTCACATTGTACAACAGATCTCTAGAACTTTTTCATTTCACTAACCTGAAACTCTTTTCTCATATTAAACAACTTTAAATTTCCATCCACCTAAACCCTGGCAACCACCATTCTAATTTCTAGTTCTATGAATTAGACTACTTAGGTACCACAGAGAAGTAGAATATATTTTACAGTTCTTAAAAGTGAGTAAGATAACATGTAATTAAGCTATAATTTTTTTATAGGTGCTGCCTGTGAGTAAAAACAGCCAAATGATTACATTTACTTTTCAAAATGGTTGTGTTGCTACTCTTCGGACAAGTGGGACAGAACCAAAGATAAAGTACTATGCAGAAATGTGTGCACCACCTGACCAGAGGTAAGAGTAGATTTTTAGACATGTATGTAAGGCTTTATGTATAACTCACGTAAGATAGAGTACACTCGCTTAAAATGAATAGTTCACCCAGTTTAATGTCACCATCACTACAATTTTTAACATTTTTATTATCCCCAAAATGAGCCTGTACCCATTAGAAATCATTTCTTATTTCCTTCCTTCAAAGCACTAAGTAACCACCAATATACTATTTTCTTTATAGATTTTATTTGAGACATTTCTTATAAATATATCATATGATATAGAGTCCCTTGTGACTGGAACATTTTACTTAGCATAATGTTTTGCTTATTTCTGATTTATTCGTTTTTTAAAAATTTGTTTTTATTATCAAAATATTCCATTGCATAGGTATACCATCCTTTTAATCTTCATCAGTCAGTAAATATTCAGGTTATTTACATTCATTGGATTTTACATTATGATTATTTGTGAAGAAATGTTTATGTGTGGATGTGTGGATTTTCATTTTTTGGATAAATAGAAACATAGCTACAAGTGGAGTTGCTGGGTCATATAATAACCTATATGATAAAATGTTTAACTTTTTGAGGTCCTTCCAGATTATTTCAGAAGATGATGCATTATTTGGATATTAAATTTCTATTCTTAAAAAGACTCACTGATCTTTATTATATGATGAGCATGAAGAAATAAACAGCAGCTGGGCTGGAAATGTAGTTCAGTGTTAGAGCGCTTAGTGTTCCTGATATTCTGGGTTTGATTCTAGTACTGAAAGAAATAATTTGTATTTATTGCCAAATATTTCTTTTCTGTGTCTAATATAGTTTGACATAACCTTTTTAGTTCATTTTTGGGTGTTTTTTTTTTTTTTTGTCTTTTTCTTTTTTATCGGTACCAGGGATCAAACTCACGACCACACACTTGCAAGGCAGGCGCCCAGCCCCCCTTTAGTTCATTTTCATGAGTATAAATTGTGACTAAATCACAAATTATTAACATTTATTAAACATATCCAAAGGTTACTTATACTTACTAAAAGTAGTACCTCCTACAATGTTATCATTCACCATGTATTTTTGAGAAGAAGTTTTATTGTTATTTATCGAGTTTTTAGTTTTTTGGTCTTGTTTTATTTGTTTTGGTATTGGAATTTCAACCCAGGTCTTCACCCTAAAATACATCCCTTAGCCCTTTTTTTGTTTAAAGACAGGTCCTCACTAAGTTGCTGAACTGCCCAGGCTGGACTCAAGTTTATGATCTTTCTACTCTAGTCTCCCAGAGTGCTGAGATTATAAACTTGTACCACTATGCCACGTGGGACGGAAATTTCTTGAAACTGCTTTCAGAGCCCAGCCAGAATATATTATTTTGCATGACTTCATGTCTTTACATTAAAATTTTGTTTACATTAGGGGGAAAAAATGACCTGAAGTTATGTAGAGATTTTCAAGTTAAGCAAGTTAAGGCTGGGAATGGTGGCACACACCTGTAATCCCAGCACTTGGGAGGCTGAGACAGGAGGATCAATGTGAGTGTGAGGCCAGCCTGGGCTACAGTGTGAGTTCAAAGTCAGCCTGAACTGCATAGTGAAACCCTTTCTCAAAAATAATAATAATAATGATAATAATAATACTAAACTCAAGCAAGTTCAGTAATGCCATGTTTGTTTAAAACAAAAGATGATTATTAAAGCAGTGAGAACTGATTTGTTTTGTAACTTATAAAATGACCTATAAGCAATTTATTTTTATTTTTTATTTTAAACAGAATAAAACCTAACAAAATAAAACAGAATAGAGCCAATCAAAACAAAACAGTGCAAGTGGTACAGAACTTCAAAACAGGATAATAGGAAATCAGCAATGGCTACCATAGTATATCTTATCTTCACAAATTGTCCCTGCTATCAGCATAGTAAAATCAAATAAAACCAATCATCACAGAACATTAAATAAAATAAAGCAATATATCATAACAAAACTTAACAGTAGGGGCTGGGGATTTAGCTCAGCGGCATAAGCGCCTGCCTTGCAAGCAGGCAGTCGTGAGTTTGATCCCCGGTACCGATAAAAAGGAAAAAGACAAAAAAAAAAAAAAAAAAACTTAACAGTGAGAACAATATTAGATTTCAAAAACAAGACAGAAAGAAATCCCCCATGTTTGCTATATTACATAATGTTATCCTCCTGATAAATTCTCAGACTATTAGCCTTAGGCCTACAAAGTCAGTCAAACAATACAAGCATTTAGTTGTTTTGTATCTTAACTCAGCCTGTCCTCCAAACCAGCTGGTTGCTTATAGGGGGGTGGGCAGTGGTAATTGATTCTCTGCCTGTACACCAGTCATCTCACAGGAAAGGTAAACTGGTTTCTGCCTTCCTGGACCTCCTGGACCCTGCATGGTTTGTACAGCTTATGTGAAGGGAAAATTGGCTTCTTGTACTCCTCCCAGTCCCAGCATGGCTTCTGCCAACTCACAGGAAGGATGAACTGGCTTCTCTTCCTGGGCCTTGCCTGGTTTAGGCAATTTAAGCTTTTGACCTGAGACAGGGTTATCACTATGTCATTCAGGCTGTCTTTGGGCTCACTTTGTAGACCAGGTTGGTCTCCAATTTGCAATGATCTTCCTGCCTCAGCCTCCCAAATGCTGGGATTATGGGTGTGTGTCACCACACCTGGCCCTATAGGCAATTTTTTGTTTTGTTTTGTTTTTGGTACTGGGAATCAAACTCATGACCGTGTGCTTACAAGGCAGGCGCTATGCCACTGAGCTAAATCCCTGGCCCTCCTGTAGGCAATTTAAAAGAGGCTTTCCAGGGGCTGGGGATTTAGCTCAGCGGCATAAGCGCCTGTCTTGGAGGCAGGCAGTCGTGAGTTCAATCCCTGGTACCGATAAAAAGGAAAAAGCCCCCCCAAAAAAATAAAATAAAATAAAAGAGGCTTTCTTAGAAATATGTTGGGCAATAGCAGCTCCTCAGTGCTGGTCTTCAGGGCTCACTTGAAGTGAATAGTTATTTTTTTTAATATTTCATTCTTTTATTCACCCCTTCTCCTGCTACCTGAAAGGTGCATCACATTATTCCATGACGTCAATATTGAATATCCTTCTAAGTATTACAGGAAGCCTTTTTGTCATAGTGAAACAGCTATCATTGTACAAACCAAGCCTGTTGTCTTACTAATCACAGGCAAAAAGGAGTTTAAAGCAAAAATGTTTATTGGAAATATAAGAAGAACAAAAAGGGCTCCTGGTAGCTGGGAGGGGTCCCATAAAGTAGAGTGCCACATGACCCCTCAGTCCAGAACTTTTTATGAATAAGCAGAGCACAGGGATTGCTCACTTGCTGGTGACTGTCCATCACATCTGGCTATAGATTTAAAATGACCATTTGGAGCTCAGTCTCTAAACTAGTTACTCAGCATGCAGAGGTTAAAGGAAACCAATTTTTAAAAAACTGGTTATTCTGCATTTTTAAGTTCCTCCAAACTTGACCCTTAATGTAGAGAGCAGTTGCATTCCATGTTGCCTGAGAAACTCCTTTCTTGGTCCAAACTTCCAGTTTCATTGCCTGTTTTTATTTTAACAGTGTGGGTGACCACCCAGTTCTATTTCAGTCCCTTTCTCTAGCTAACTGCCTATTCCTAAGCGAATGAACTCAACCATCCTTTACAGTAACACCTCAGTGTTGATGTTGAAAGCTTATTAAATTGCCTGACTTAGGAATATAGTTTGGTTGTCCTATAATTCATTCCTTATCGTGTGCCTAGAAGTCTTATTAATGCAATTTAATTTGTTTAGGATAGTGTTTTCTTTGTATGTAATTTCTGAAAGTCTTATTTTGTTTTATTGAGTGTATTTTTCTTTTGTTTATTGATTATTTGATCATCCAATCAGGTATATATTCTCTTAAAAATTAAAATAATTTAAACAAAATTTAAGGCTGTGAAAATAAATAATTAAAAAATTCTCAATCCTTTTCCTTAGTGACATTACCCTTCTGGAAGAAGAATTAAAAAAACTCATTGAAGCTCTGATAGAGAATTTTCTTGAGCCCAGCAAGAATGGACTGATCTGGCGTTCTGTGTAGGATACCAGTGCATTATGGCTTTGTACTGGCACATGGAACAGAACCACGAAGGACTCCATCCCTCGAACCTTCTGTTAGCATTCTGTATCTCATTTGGCCAAGTATCTTTTCCTTCTTTCTCTCTCCTTTTTCTTTCTTTTCTTTTTGTTTGGCTGACTAAAGAAACTGTATAAATATGAAGTGTAAATGGAGGAAAATAATTCAGACTTTTTAATACTCTTGAATGAAAGTCATTAATTAAAAGTGTTCTGGTAACACATCATTCTTCCTTTAATACAGACATAACAACAACAAAAGTGAACTGTCTTATTGAAGTGTGGCTGATTTAATATAGTAATCCATATCTTGTACTTGTGTATAGCATGATTTATAAAAAGGCAACTAAATGTGGCATAATTATAGGATTAGTTAAGGAAATTAACCCATAAAAATGGAAAGAAGTGATACTATTCCTGCATTATCATGAAAGAGTGTCGTTGTTACATCATAGGTATTGATTTACAAATTAAAGTATTTGTAATAGGCTATTTAGCATTTCTAGTTTAGTACAGATGTTATAATATGTGGTTTTGTATCTGTTTCTAGTGCCCCTGGTGCAATGTAAATTTACTTCATGTATTTAAAACTCTGATGTTTACTGAACAGAAAACAATAGTGGCAACACTCTTAGTGGTTTTATTCTTGTCAGATTTCTTAGTGCCTTCTCAAGTCTGATACGAACTTAAACAGCATTCTTGCATTGAATACAATTTTATCAATTTTCAGATAGTTACAGAAAATCTTCCAAACTGTACAGGTGCTTCCTTCATATCAAGTGAGCTTGTTGATTTTAAAATACTGTGCTTATGAAAGAAGATCTGAATAAAAGCAGGCATAATGTAGCTATAGTTAAGTGTCTTCAAGTTAGGTTTGTATCAGTTATCTTAACCTTTAAGTAAAGAAAAAAATCTGAGTTGGTAAATAGCTCTGAATTTATATGACAGTCTTAACTTTGAAATAACATTTTTGAGAGCAGATTTATTACTTTATCTGATAAAGTAATGCTAATTTTAATAAAGCATCTAGATTTTAAATACTAACAAATGCTAAAACTAATGTTTAAGGCTAAGGTCCAAGGTATTCTAACATTTTTCTGACTGCTATGGAATTTCTGATCACATGAATATTCTTTATCTGTTTTTAATATGGAAAAATGTCTTAAGGAAGTCACTTTTGGTTGATTTTATAGTTTTCTAAAAAGATTTAACAGAACTTCTGTCTATATTTTCCTGTCCAATTTGCAAAAATATACCTGTATAACTAGGAGTAACAAAAACAAGGTTTTGGGTATAAGTATATAAACAATTTTTCCATAGGAACAGTACTGGAGTTGGAGAATTTGTTTCCTTAATAAGCAGTAATAATAATGCAAAGCCTAAACTAATTAGAATGGTTTTTGTTTTTGGTTGGTTGGTTGGTTGGTTTTGGGGTCTTTTTGTTGTTATTGTTGTTTGTTTTTGTCTTTTTGAGACAAAACAATATGGTTCAGGCTGGTCTTGAGCTCACTTTATAGCCAAGACTGGTCTCAAACTTGCAACTGTCCTCCTGCCTCAGCCTCTATAGTGCTAGGATTACAGGCATACACCACCATGCCTGGCTAATTAGAATGTTGATTAAATCACAGTTTCATTTGTTTTAGTGACCTGCTAACTTTGTTTGAGCGCCTATAATTTAAACATAATTTTCAAATTATTGCATTGCCACTATTGTTAATTTGTTCTTTCCGTATTTTATCTCTAGGTCTTGTATGATTGTAGATAATAGACAACTAGCTAAATATACACACCATTTTTTCGCAAAAGAATTTGTTTTCAAAAGTTTTGCACTGGAGAAGAAATGTGTAGAATGTTTTCTTTTATTTAAAAATGTGTAAAATACTTTTTGGTTTGTTAGTTCTTAGGAATGTAGATTATAACTTAGGAAAAAGCATATATTCTGCAAAGTGGTATGAACAGTGTTATATATGTATAAAGAACATTGTGTTTGGTTTTAGTATCTGTGTTTCTGTGACCAAAGAACAAATGAGGCTAATTAAATGGTAGCCCATTCATAATCACTAAAACCATGCCATGATTGTTATTCTCTTATGAAGAAAACAGTTTTATTTGAATGCTTTAATATGATGCAACATGGAAACCGTCTTAAGTTGAAGAGTCCTTGAAGTTTGGATTTTTTTCTAAAAAATGTTAAAGTCTAAAGTTGAAATTAGCAAAATTTTATAAAGCTTCCTGAAGTACATAGATTGAGGACACTATTTGATTCTACCCAAATTCTTGAGTCTGTCTGAGCATGATATTTGACACGAACTTGACGGAGTGGGTACACAGTGACAGCCCAGCAGGCAGAAGTGCTACCTATGAATCTCAGCTGCAGGCACTGTATTGTTCGTCTTTTTCTTTTTGAACACTCTCAGAAATGTGTACGTTTTCATTGAACATGTAAATAACTTTTCTGCAGGGAAAAATAAAAGAATGGGGCAAGATCAAAACATAAATTGAAAGTAAACAGTAAAAGTAGACACTATAATGGCCACTAAGACGGCACAAAAACTGTTTCTTGTGAAGAACAAAGCTGATACCATACAGGTAGGGAATAAACTGTGGGAAAGTTTACTTGTGTTTATTTCTTGTTATAATGAGCAGAAGTGAACCTATCATTTTCCTTTATTAGAGATCACTAAAAATGACTCAGTTTTAGGAGGTGAAAATAAGTGTTTCTGTTAGATACTAAATTCCTGCTAAGATGTTGTCCCTTGTGTTCAGAATCATGTGAGAACTCAGGAGGACATTAAGCAGAAATAAAAAATGTAGATTAGAAAACAAATAAAAATACAAACTATAGAAATAAAATATAGATTAGAAAACAAAGACCTAAGAAAAAGTTGAAAGAATTATGATCATTTAACTCTAGAAAGGAGAAAGCTATTGAGATCATTTCTTAAGTCATAAGTTATGCACTAAGGCTTTTATTAAAGGACTGAAGTGCTTATATCATACTGTTCCCCATTTCTAGGGAGGCGGACAGAGCAGAAGGAAAAGAGCTTTTTAAAAAGTCAGCATGGATTGTTTAAGACCTAACTTCTTGAGCAGAATTTCTCATAAAATCTCTCACTTGAAATCTGTTTTTAAAGGAATAAAATTTTTTATATTAAAGGACATGCTAAATGACTTTTTGAAAGATCTTTTCTTGCACCACAGTTTTTTAAAAATTCAGATTGGAACAAAAATCATGTTATGAAAAACCCTGATAGTAATATTTGGGTTTCAGCTGACAAAATAATTTTTGTTTATTTTGAGTAGTAGATGCATGAGTTCAATGAATAAAAGACCTGTTTAAATCTTATTTTTTAGTTGACCTTAAAAAAGTAAGACTTGAACACATTTCTGTTCCTCTTAAAGAATATATAGCATTATAGGATATTTGAGGAGTTTGTTTTAAATGTAAAGTATTGTTATTTGGATACTGTAATTTCAGCAAAGAGATTCTGGGAGATTGCATACTTTGTAATATCTGCATACTGATACAACAGACATGTTAGTGGGAATCTAGAGGAGAAATTGTCCTATGAACTGCTGCTATTGATATTTTTTCCACATGTTTTCTGCTGAGGTTTGTAATGCTTGAAAAAAACCAAATTCTGTTTAGATGCAGTTAATTTTCTCTCTACCTCCCTGTTTCCTTAGGCATACTCTTCTAGGTTTTCTAACTGAAAAACTACCCTGTTGTCTCACTGATAAGAATCCTTTTTTTGTACCAGAAATCAAACTCAGGACCTTATGCTTGCCAGGCAGGCACTTACGTCACTGAGCTATATCCCTGGCCCCTAATAAGAAATCTTAACTATGTTCATTCAGAACGCTTTGAGCTTACTCATAAACTATTAATGAACTTTTTATTTTATTACTGTCAGAATATTTAAGACATTATAAGAAGTAATTTTAAATCTGTTTTATAATCTGTTTTTTGGTCTGTCTGATACTGCTTTATGTTAATTCATGATAGCCCTTTACACTTGTTTTCTGAACTTGCTCGAGAAATTAAGGAGGAAACAATCATACCAAAATGGTTAGTTGACCTAGCATTTTATATGAGCATTCCTTATACTTTGGGGAACCAAAGCACAAAATTTCCTCAAATCTTTTCACATATTTCCCTCAAAGCAGTTTACCCTAAGATATAAGAAGTCTAAGTGAAAAGAAGAGATTAGCTCATTTCTGACTCTTTGCAAACTGCTCCTTTCCTGCTTTAATTGCAGCAGGAACTGTAACATTCACCAAGTCATCTTTCTGCTTTGTTAATTCAAGATTATGTCATTTAATAAGAGAATCTATAAGAATGAGTGAAGTGATCAAGATAGGGACAAAGTGACATATCTAGAGTTTGCTTCTCAATTTTTCTTCCACCTGCAGAACCCTAAAGCAGAAGAGCATAAAGGGGAAGGAGGTCTGAGAGCAAAAGCAGAAGCAGCCTGCCTCTGGCATAAAATTTTGTGTTCTGACCTTATATTGTAAGTAAATGTCACATTCTTCTTACTAAAACTTCTAATATAGAAATATTATCTTCAAAGAAAGAAAAAGGAAGAAAGGGAGGAAGGAAGGAAGTCTTCAATCTCCCCTGAAGCTAGTGCTGCTGGGAAGGAGCACTGTATGTATCAGGTGCCTCTCAGTGTTTTCCCCCTCTGCATGCTTAGTTGCTACATATCCCTGGGGATGCACACCCAGACTTCAGTGTGAGAAAGGTGAGCGTGGAATATATTGATATTCTCTGTATTTGAGAGACTGAGCTTCTAAATCACTAACACTAAATTAAATGGACTTGAAACAGTTATGTTACTGTTGAACCGTACTATATGGTCTGAGATGTTGGCAAGTTTATTCACTTTAACTTATTGGCATCCTTGACTAAGAAGGAGCACCTATCAATTCCTGCCACATTAAAGTGGGGGGAGGAAAGGAAAAGAGCAATCATTGTCTGTCAGCTCCCTGAGAGGAGCTCCCTGAGAGCAAGAGGTGTAGTTTGTAATTTTTCATATTCATATACCTAATTTCATACCAATTATAGGGTGTTTAATTTGTTTTAATAGGAATTAAGGGATTTATTTTAAGGAAGCAAATAGCTTTTTAAAATTAAAAGAATTAATTTTTCTAATTCAATTTTTTACTCTCATTACTGAAATTTATAAGTGATGCTCAGTTTCTGTGGGGAGAGCAGAGCATCTTTCTGCATGGAAATTGTATATAATGCCTAGTATTTTACATCCAAAACAAGCTGCTGCCCAGAAAGGCTAAGCAATTATCCATGTAGATTTGATATCAGTAGTCTCAGTGTGATTTTGAGTCCTAATAGTATCTTCCAAGTGAGTTACAACTAATTTGGTAGTATTTGCTGTGTTTTTGCCCAACATCACGATCATCATGTGTCTTACTTTATATTAAAAAGCAAAATCCGCTTCTATATATGGTGAGGCCTTCCTGTTATAGGCTAAAATAAACTCTTAGTACACATCATTAAACATGCTGGATCAAATATACACAGTCAAGAATTAAGTATTTTTCTAAGTGTAAAGCAGTAGTTCAAAATTGTACTATTTAACAGTTTTTTGTCAACATCCGTTTTTTTCTCTACAAAAATACCAGGGTGAATTATAAACTGTTGCCTGTGAGAATTTGCACTTTATATATTTGTGTGTGGATTTCTTGTGGTTTTAGTCAAATGAGGTGTTATCAGTAATAAACAGGTCTCTTTATTGGCATGAGTTTCTGTGTAATTTTTATTATCGTAGATACTGTGTAGTTCTTAAAGTTTCAGTTTACCCAAACTGAAATGTCTTTTAAATATGCATGACATATCCTTGATGTACCAGAGTTTGAATAAATATTCTGGCTGAGCACTCAGTAAATCCTTCTGGATCAATTCATCACAAGTTCCATTAAGTAGGGGCTGTGAATGTAACTCAGCAGTAGAGCACTAGCCTAGCATGTGTGAGGCCCTGGGTTTGATCCCCACTACCACAAAGAACAAAATTTCTTTCAGTCTTATTTTTATTTTTCTCTCCTTCAGTTGACCTAATTTGTTTATTCAAGTTAGCACTAATTCCCACAATAAGATAAGACAGTTAAAAGTTTGAAAATCTCTGAAAGAAGTAGTGATGGATCTGTGATACAATGGTGGTGGCAGAGTAAGACCATTTCTCGAGGGCCATCATGACTGTAGTCCTGGTCTCCAGCACCTGTCTGTCCCTTAATAAGACTCAAAGGGAAGATAAGTAAGATTACTTTTGCACAGGGTGCTTCTATCACCTTCTAAACTGAATATTCGGAGAACCATTTGGACCCCCTCCTTAACCCTTCCCTCTCTTTTAGGTTCTTTATGTCACAAAATCAAGTGAACCCATTAATTCAATTCCCTACAAAGTGGCAGGGAAGGGTACATGATATGCAAATAAAGCCTACTAAAAGGAGTGGGACTGGGTCTTTGAATGCAGAGTGAGAAGCAAGGACCCTGAGACTTGCTAGCTAACTTCCAGCCTCACTGCAGTTAGCCTCAGGCTAGCCATGGAAAGCTAAGTGGGGCAAAAGCAGAGAACACTGATGCCTCTGTGGTCAGGGAATGAAGACAGAAAAAAAAATATGGAGGGATAATTAGACCTAATAAGATTTTTTTCAGTTTTTCACCCTTTCCTTTTGTGCATGCTTCCCCCTTGTGGACAAGTAACTCAGAATCTGTCTTCAAGTAGGAGCCCAAATTCAGTCCCAGAATTTTTCTCTATGGTTAGGTAAGTCTAAGAGTCAAGTCAGAATCTACCTGAAGTCACAGAGTGGATTCCTGACATACCCAAGGCATCGTCTTCCCCCTCTGCTGCTCTCTCTCATACAACCTAAAGATGCTATTGAAAATTCATTCACAATATTTTAGCCTTCTAGCCAGGTAGGACCCTCTCAACATCTATACAAAATAAGGTCCAAAGAGGAAAAGGGATTTCCTAGAGGTCATAGAGAAGGCCAGTATCTAACTTGGTAATTCTCAGGTCTCTTTCTCCTATTTGTATGTAAATATTACTAGACGGTAGAAGCAGAACAGTGAATTAGAAGTTAAACCTACACCTCAAGAAAAGAAAAACACTTAAGGGGCAGCAGAAGTACTCCTGTAGAGGTAAGTATAAAATGATGCAGGAGGACAAAGGAAGTGGAACTGTACTGGGCAAAGCCCAGAAGAGAGCATGAAGAAGGCAGGAAGTATTTTAGAGAGGCTGGCATACAGGTTTCCAATCTCAGCCCATATAACACCTCTAATTTTCACACTCTCTTGCTGAGTGAAATGTGCCAAATCCAAATATCAGCCTAAAAATACAGAGAAGAGGTCTGTATTTTTAGGCTGATCTTTCTTTCCAAGATTCAGAGCTCCATATGCAACAGCTTCCAAGTCATCTCTACCTGTACATCCCACAGGCACTTGAACTTAAGCTGTCTAGTTCTGACCTTTTCTTTCTCAGTGCAGATGCCCCCTACTCATGCCACCACACTTGTTCCTTATTGTGGACTGTCAGAGGGAGCCATCATTTGTTACCTCCCCAGCTTCCAGCAGAATTTAGCACCAAATATTGCAAATTGTGCTTCCTAAATATGTGAAAATTTCTTCTTGATGCAGCAGAATGGAAGTGAGATTTTTATGACAATAAAATGCAGTCAGATGATACTAGGATAATGGAGCCACCTTTGAGTTTTGGAGGAATGGTGTGCCATCCAGATCCGCCCAGCCCTAGCTGTGGCTTGACAGCATCTGTAAAAGATTTCTGGTTGTGAGCCTGGCTGGAACTTTGGGGGACCGGTAAGGATTTCTGGGACTTGTTTGCTAGCTGACTTCATTGTGGCACAGGAGAAAACTGGGGATGTTTAGAAATCCAAAGTGACAACTGTTTGCACCTTTTCCCCTATTTCTTGTCTTCTCCTTTAGTCCAGTCATGATTTATATACAAAACCCATCTTCTCTTTCTTTCTTTCTTTTCCTCTAAACGGTTAAAAATAAAGGTTGATTTGATTATCCTTCCAGCTCCATACAAACCACTTACTGGCTATGAGATCTTGAATAATGTGATAGCCTCCAACAGGGTCCCTGAAGATTCCCCCCTGGCAGAAGTGATTACTGGTCACTTCTGAGATTAGGATATAAAGACAGTGTGGCCTCCATCTTGACTGCCCTTTCTGTGACCATTTTCTCTGGGTGAAGCCAGAAGTCCCATGGATATTGTCATATGGGAAGAAACTGAGGCCTCTTTCCAATAGCCATTTGGGTGAATTTAGAAGCCCTGGATTTTTGTGTGGGTTAGGAAGATGGATGCAGCTTAGCTGGTGGTTCTGCCTTAGAATCTCCTTCAAGTTGCAATCCTAAGGAGGTATGACTAGGGCTGAGGGATTAGCTTCCCAGAAGGCTCACTTATGGGACAGTAGCAAGTGGTTTCAGTTCCTCTCCCATAGGGTTGCTTGAGTGTCCTCATGACTTCGCAGCTGATTTCCCTCAGAATGAGTGAGCCAAAGAAAGAACAAGACAAAAAGTACGATGTCTGTTATCATCTAGCCTTGGAAGTTACACACTATTGTTTCTATAGAATTCTATGATTACACAGATCAACCCTGCTGCTATGTGAGAGAAATTATGTGAGGTACAAATTTTGGGAGGTTGGGGGGTCAATGGGGCAATTGTAAGACTGGCTACCACAGAGATTAACCAGTTTTTAAACATTAAATCAGCAATCCCTAAAGGACATTTGTCTTAGTTATTTTTATGTTACTGAGACAAAATAGCTGATGCCCACAGTTAAGGAAGGAAAGGTTTATTTAGCTCAGTCTCAGCGTGGAGATTTCAGTCCATATTTTACTGGCTGCAAGGCACAAGGCAGAGGAGCAACAGTTCATGGTGGCAGAAGATCGAAAATAAGCAAGAGGGCAAAACAGGCCTCTTTCTGCCCCTTTTTTTTTAATCCAGACTTCTGGGATTCTGCTAATCCAATCAATGGAATGATCCAGCAATCACTCAGCCTTAATCCCAACATTACACTACAAATCAGTTACATACTCTAGATTCAGCTGCTTCCAAAAAGCACCATTCCCATGACCATGTGACACTGGGGGGACATCCAGACATAAACCATAGCAACATTCAAGTGCAGATGTCAAGTGATAGAAATACAACTCTGAGGCTTGTAAGAGAAGTCTGGGCTAGAGATACTAATTTGGAAGTTATCAAAGTACAGAAATACTTAAAGCCATGGAAATGAGAGTACAAAGGAAAGAGAGCCTTGCTTTTAGGACTCCAACACTTACTTTCTTCATTTTAAAATTATGATCTCATTTGTTGTAATGAAAACTTTAAAATAAAATGAGAAGGAAAGATACCATAAACACCCGTGTACCCACCACTTAGATCAGTAAACATCAGCATTTTTCTTTATGGTACTAGGGGTTGAACTCACGATCTCACACTTGTCAGACAGGCACTTATGCCACTGAGCTAAACCCCTGGCTATGACAGCACTCTTTCATTTTTCCAATATCTTTCTTTTAAACCCTTCCTATCCAATCCTTTGCACCGACCTCCTATATTATGTTTTTTAATTGCTTAGCTTTTGTTGAATAGCAAACCAACCCAAGTAAAACAGCAAGTATTTATATGGCTCATAACTCTGCAATTTAACAACTTATGCTAAGTTCAGTTAAGTTGTTCTGATCTTAGCTGGGATCATTTATGGATCTGAGGTCATCTGCTAAATTAGTTAGGTGTTGGATAATCTACAATGGCTTCCACTGGGATGACTCATATCTGTCCCGTCCTCCAGCAAACTAGTTCAGCTTTGTTCAAATGAGTGGCTGGATGGAGTACAAAAAAGAGCCAACACATGCAAGATATTCAGGCTTACACATAACATTCATCTCACCCTTCTGCTGCATTATATTGGCCAAAAATGTCACAGGTCTAGTACAGATTTTAAGAAAGGAAAACAGTCAACATATCCTGATGGCAGTTATTACAAAGTCACAGCTCAAAGAGCGTGGATTCAGGAACAATCAACTGAAGGATTGTGACCATTTTTGTAACCTAAAAAACTTCATTCTTTGAATGTAATTATTCAGATTTCTTCCACAGGAAAAATATGTTTACTACCATTCCAGGACCCCAAAATTCTCTTGCAATTATGCCATCAAGCTTGAGACCTACACCCTCATAAAACAGCACTGTTGAACATAAAAGATCAGATAAATTACTATAAGGGGCCCAAATCACCCACTGTCACAAATAGATCAGCTAGACAAAAAAAATCAACAAAGAAATATCAGAGTTGAAAAAGCCTTCAAACAAATGAACTTAATAGATATCTATGGAGGGTTCCATCCAACAACAGAATACACATTCATTTGAGCAGCACATGCAACTTTCTCCAAAACAGCCAAAAACAAGTTAAACTAAATGTAAAAGAACAGAAATTATACCATACATATTACCATATTATAGTGCAATGGAAGTAGAAATCAACAAAAAAAACACAAAATTTAAGCAAATGTATGAAAACTAAACAGTACACTCTTGAACAATAATGGCTTACAGAAGAAACCAAGGAAAAAATAAGATAGGATAGTTTCTAGAACTAAATGAATACCAGTACAATTTCCAGAGTTTATGGGACACAATGAAAGCAGTCCTAAGAGGGAAGGTTAAAGCTATGAATGCCCCCCACAAAAAAGCTATGAATGCCCATAA